TGTCCCACATCACCTGGAAGGCCAAATTTGTGCTCAATGCGTTCTTTGGACATTTTACTTTAAATTGCACCCCTCAAATTCATTCACTTATGATCGGACTCCAAGCTAGGAAGTGATTTGTGAAGCAACTGCAAATGGGGCATTTTGCCCCAACCCCAGGGCAAAACGCCCCACGGCCTGGGGCAAGTAGCCCCATACGTTAGATTACAGATTTAACATGGTAGTTGGCTTAATCTTATGTGAGAGGTCCGTTAGACCTCTGGAGGCACGGCTCTGAAGCTAGCACATTCCATCCTGTCAGGTGTTCAGCTATGACACTATTGTATGAGCAGGTTTTTCACCTGCCTCATAAGACCAAATACAGGGTGGACCAAAAAGGATGGAAACATTTTGAACTCGCATAAAACATGCATTATTGCATGCATGTGACTGAAAATGGTACCGAACGAGAGTACATTTCGTGGAAATTCATAACGGCATCACTCTCATCTGCTTTCTCTCGTTTTCAGTCTCTCACAGGAAATGTTCGAAGAGACCACCTTCGCGAGACAGGCACAGATCGGCCGGTCTGGTGGCTGACGCGATAGCCCAACCACACATGTTCGCTGGCATGGCTCACACAGTCTTGGTAATCGCTCTCTTCAGGTCACAGAGACGTTCCTTGTAGACCTGGCCCTTGAGATAAGATGATAAAGAAGTCACTGCACAGCAGCGAGGTCACCGAAATGGTGTGCCCTCAGCGGAAAAGGAATCGTGGGTCCACTTTGGTTCGAGGAAGGGAGCGGCGACACCGTGACCGTCAATTAACAGCGCATACCAGGCGGCGCTGAGGAAGTTCTGAGAGCGAGTCCAAACGAAGCATGGCAGCCTCATTATAGACCTTATGTGGTTCCAGCAAGACGGTACGACTCCTCACATCGCAAAAACAACGCTCAAGTGCATCGAAAACCACTTCGGTGACCGGCTGATATCCCGCGGTGCCAGCCGGAACTGGCCTACCTGCTCATCCGACCTGACTCCTATGGATGTTTTACTGTGGGGTCATCTCAAGGGCCAGGTCTACAAGGAAGGTCCAGAAAGCCTCTGAACTGAAGAGAGCGATCAGCAAGGCTGTGTGAGCCATACAAGCGGACTATGCGTGTCAGCAGCCAGGCTGGTCGCTCTGTGCCTGTCTCGCGAAGGTGGTCACTTCGAACATCTGCTGTGAGAGACTGAAAACGAGAGAAAGCGTATGAGAGTGATGCCATTATGAATTTCCACGAAATGTACTGTTGTTTGGTATCATTCCCAGTCACATGCATGCAATGATACATGTTTTATACGCGGTTTGAAATGTTTCCATCCTTTTTGGTCCACCCTGTAATAAATTATTGCAATGCAAATGTTTACAGAATACTTCCTTTGCCATCCAGTTGCTGAGAAAAATACACATAAAGGCATAGAAACTTACTGTTCGCCAGCTACCGAACATTAGAAAGTGGGTAGCCCGAACAACACATGAGGTAAAACGCCCCATGGGGCTTTTTGCCCCGCGACCTACTGGGGCGTTTTACCCCATCACGTAGTTCGATCAGAGAACAACGCTTTGCACTCCAGCAAGACATAACTTAACCCTCGCATGTGTAGGGGGGGGGGGGTCGGATGGACCCCCCCCCATGGTTTTTCACAAATAACTCGCGTGTAAAAAGCGGCCGATCGCGACGAAACTTTCAGTACCCTCGCATTGATCAATTTTACACCTACCCTGAAAATTTCATGACCCTGACCCCAATGACCTTTGACCTGTGACCTCTTTTCCGAGACCATGTTTGGCCGGAATCGCGATTCCGCGTATGTCGGCTCGCATTAGCCGCGCGTTTGCAAGCTTTTCGTGGTTTCAAACGTTCAAACATGTGATTTGATGTTGCTCCCATGCATTAGGGTGGGTGTCAAGGTCACCTGAAGGTCAGGTCAGGTCATTGACCTTTGGTGACCTCGGTTCACTTTTTCGAGTTTTACATGTTTCTAGGCTAGTTTTTGGAGCTGAATTCGAATTTAGCAACCATTTGAACATTTACGAAGTAGTTTTGGTGACTTCGTAACATATTACGAAGCTGTCAGAGGCCGTTGACACGTAATACTAATACCCGTCACGACGCCTACTGGTTGACCTGACCTGACCTGACCCGACCTGGTCTAAATGCTTAAAGACATCATCTGTGATCAAAACTAACACGATATTCGTGATCAGCACCCCGAAAAACCCCTTAGCAGCCACACTTTACGACTTTCTAACAGGTCCCGATTTTCCCGACCTTGGGTCATTGACCTGACCTGGAAGGTCAACCAATGACCTAGGACCTTAAAATTGGGTATCATCGGCTTCCTCTCGTCACGGGCAACACGCTCGTTTTTTCCGCGAAGCTCTAGCTCGATCAGGGGCCAAACGGCAAGGGGGGGGTCCAACCGACCCCCCCCCCTACACATTAGAAGCTGGAAAACGCCGCACACATGCGAGGGTTAACACGAACCAACCCGGCATGATAAGCGTTAGACAATAGTTGTTCAAAATACATAAAAGTCGTTAACCTGATGTGGACCATAAAAGAACGCCATGATGCATAATCTGACAACAAAACATAAAAATCACTCAAAAAACACATTTTTGGCTCTATATCCCGAAAGAGTCATCACAATTTCTTTCCAGTCTGCTCATATAATGATCATACGGTGCACGTTTTATAGAAGAGAGGATGTTTCCCCAGAACTCTGCCAGTTCCGAGAAACATCGGTGAGGCGTTTTACCTCGGCGGGGCGACTTGCCCCGGTCTACCCTACCATAGAGTCCAAACAGCTAAACGGACGGATTTTGCCGAAACATTTGTTCTGTAACAACCTATGATTCAGTGAATGTGTATGATATTCATGTTATCACCATCGTTTTTGTTTCGTCGAAACACGTCGCATGGTTTACAATTTGAACTTAAAAACTTGTATAGAAAACTTGAATCAGGTAAAGGTCATGACCTGACCGGAAAAGAACCTGCTGCATATGGATCGATCTGTGTTACTGAGCTGAACACACTCCAGGTGCTGTCATCGCTCTACAACGTCTCCATCAAAAGTTGTTGTCGAAAATGTGTTAGAGACCTTTGATGACCTAATGACTGACCATTTCAGTCACCACTGGTCATTAGCTGCACCTTATTTCTAAAATGAACAAGGTGTCATGGCTACAAAAGTATCTAGCGTTTTTAGCATATTCTTTCAAAGCAGAGGGCATCGTGCTTTTTCCCATATCTTATTATGATTGGTGAGGTCTTACACCTATTTGACCTGACTTCGCTTCTCAGATGTAAAATCCCAGATTCATGAACTGTTGGCACTTATAATCCCATTCATTACACCAAATTTCAGACTTATAGGAGTCAGAAGATAATCTATAGGAATGACAAGATTGCAGTTTTAAGAGGCATTAAAACTGAACTTGACATGACATTGTTACCTGACCTCGGGTGACCTCTGCTTGATTTTTATGCACGATGCAAAACTGATGTACAATACGATATACCGCTGCTTTCGCGGCGCTGCGCGCCGAGGTTTTTCTCCGGTCACACGAAAAACCGGGAGTGTGGCTAAAAACACCCCTACCCATCAAGACGAAGACCGGAAAGCTGGAAACCCGACCCCCCCCCCCACTCAAAAATCCGTGGCGACGCCCCTGGTGTCCCCTTAGTAATTAGTTAGACCCCTAGCTACGCCACTGTTTCACATGCATCATGTCAGGTACCTATTTTAGGCTCCCCCCGGCCCCAACTTGAAAATCGTTCCCGGGCCCCTGCATCTGTGGAAAATAGCATTATGGAGGGGCGGGGGAGGGGATGTTCAAACATCCCGGGCCTTTAAAAACACTAAAAAGTTTGAGTCAAGGCTATGTTACTCAATATTGAATATACCCTGATGCAAACCAGGTAGAACCATAGGCGCGGGAGCCGGGGGGGGGGGGGGGGGGCAGTGGGGGCAGTTTGCCCCCCCCCAACTCTGGGGCCAGCTTTGAGACGGAATACCACACTTTTTTTGCAACTGTTTTCTTTTTTGTTGAAAAAGCCGAGGGGTGAAAAATAAGTGGCCTAAAACCGGTGAGAAAACTAGATTTGGGGGATTTGGGGGTACCCTTGGTTAATCTCCATTATGGTGTGCCCCCCAGTCCAGTCAGTAGCGGCGGAACACCATCAATTAAGGGGGGCACCGCCGACTTTTGGTCCCATTGTTTCCATGCAACGCCCATAGGGCTAATGTTAAAATGCCCAAATCAAAGGGGGGCACGGTGCCCCGCGGTGCCCTCCCCGTTCCGCCGCCTATGAGTCCAGTCGGAAAGTAGTTCCCGCGCCCCTGGGTAGAACGCTCCAACTGGGGACAAAAATGAGTTTAGTAACCGCGACTCCAGGACCAAACAAACTCAGGTTGCCAAGGCGGCCAAGGTAACGGGGCAAATGGTTTGAGTTGAACTCAATGGATAGAAATTAGAATATGAGCCGTGGCCCGTGATGTTGTTGATGTTCGTATTTTTTGGTTATTACTCTTATAATACCTACCTAATATTCATAGTGAATCGTGCTTCGCTTCGGAGTTAGCTATTATGCCCCCACCTTGTACCGCCCTTGCAACGCCTCTGAATAGCCCCAGACAGGCTGAACCGGTTGAACTCAACCGGTTTGAGAGCCACTGGCGCCGACATTTTGAAACAGCAGGCAGCGCCCGGTGCGGCACTATCGATTCTGCGGCGTTGAGAATTTGATCGGCTCTAGCGTGTGGTGTCTTGGACAGGTGGTGACGATTTTAAGGGAACAAATACTTTAACATGTTTTGTATATGTGACTCTTTCAATACTTATATCAACCACACCTGACTGCTTGAAAAATATTAACATACTTTGCGTTACTTTTCAACTGACACTATTATCGATATTGACCTCGCCGGTCGTATGCGCTGAAGTTGCTGCCCGGGGGCAAAAAAGCGCGTGCAAGAAGTTGGCGGGGTGGGGGAGAGTTTTAGCAAAAATATTCATATTTCAAACATTTCGCATCAGCGTGAAAAATTTTGTCGGATTGATTTTAGAGCGTCGGTAATTTTAGCGCCAGGGTCGCCGCCTCGGCGGCCGCCATTTTGGCTGACGTAGAAACAAGGGATTCCGGTCGGTGGTGCGCGGTCGCGCGGTTGCCGTCTGTGGAGTGTGGACGTGGATCGTTACGCGGCAGCGTCGGAGGCGGCCGTGAGAGATCGAGGACTGGACGTTCTGGCGGTGGCCTAAGTGGACGGAGTGTACGATGACAAGCGGTTGGTGAAGGGCGTCGCGGACTCGCGAGGCTTGGACTGACAAGCCGCCATTCGCCGCAGACTGGGCTGAGGCGAAATTGGACGCGTCAGAGACTGGCGTCATATTTCGTCTTTGAAGACTTCGATGGGATTCTTTAACGGATAATATTCGATTTGCAATGTCTGCGTGATATCAGACTTTTTAACATGGCCCAACTTCTAAACAAAGATCCTGCTGTGTACAGGAAGGAAGCAGATGCCTTCCTCTCTGATTTGAAAGGATTTCATGGAGGGAGAGGGTAAGTTTCAATGCATTTTAAAATAGCTGTGCTTTATAGGATGTTGCCTTGATACCTAGTCCATGTCACTATGATTGAATTATATTATTTATTAAGTTTGATGCATTTGGTGGCCATGGCCTCTAAATTACAACGTCCTGTCCCTTGAAACCCAATTTGAGTTCATTTTTTTCACAGCCTTGATAGGGAATTAGTAAAGGATCATTCAATCTTTTTTAATGGATTTATATGTTGGTGAATGGTCATGATTTATTCCTGGAGTTGCAAAATTTAGTTTTTAGTCTGCCCAGTTCTTTTAAGGAATTTTTAGTTGTGGTGGTATGGTGTTGTGGCCATGGGCTGTGTATTGCTGTGCATTGTCTCACATCGCTAATGTAGCCGTTCCCCTGTGTTTCAGGACTGCATTCCAACGCACACCGAAGATAGGCGGCACAGATGTTGACCTCTACCTGCTCTATGTGCTGGTTACAACCCGTGGAGGATGGGAGAAGGTTAGTGCATCCAGTGGCATTAAAAGTACCATTGATAATGAAGGACATAGCTATCTCATTTACTTTTCAGTTGCAGTTTTCTGTGGTCCTATATGTGGATATGCTGAGCAGTGAGCATACACATTGGAGCAAAGTAACTTATTGTTTTTCTCACTCATTTATCCTTTAGATCTAAATAAGATAGATTTTAAGCATCCATTTGGTTAAAAGCATGTGTGTTAATGTACCTAAGTAATTTTGTGATGTAAAAAAAAAAAATCGGTGTGTTGTTACAAACTTACAACAATGAGCACCTACAAAGTCTGATATCTGGGCATCTTTGATTGCAAGATGGTGTAGGTATTTGCTGCAATTTTTAGTGGGATTCTGGTGGAGTGTGATGGTGCATTTTAATGAATTGAAAGTGACTTGCTGACCGAGCTGAATTCATGAAGTATTTCATAGGAATTGAAACTAGCATTTTAATCATCGCTCTTTCGAATGCCGCCTACCGCGTGTCGCTACGTGACCCGAGAGCCGAGTTAGAGGGGAGGGGGAGGAGTTCAACCCCGCGCAGGGCGTGGAAATCCATGAGCTCCTCGAATCGCTGTTTGGTCGCCGTTTTATATCAGCATTCTGCCGGTTTTCCCATATAAGGATGTTCATTGTTCATTGCTTGCGCTTCTGAGCCTCTCGCTGGTCAACCGCACAGACGTGAATTTGACCAATGAGAATCCAAGAAACAACAGCAGGCTGCCACCCTACGGAAAAAAAGAGCGACCAAACAGCGCCCAGGTAACATTGTACAGATGCTGCCTTGGGCGATAGGATTCACCCCTGTTTTCATGAATAATGTGCGTGAAAAGCGGCGGAGATCGGGAAACTTTCAGTTCTCTCGTGCTAATCAATTTTACCCTTCGACTCTTAACTATTCTCGAGACTATGTTCGGTCAGGAAGGCGATTCGACGTCAACGCCTATTCTCGGCTATTTCCAAACTTTTTTTTTCGCGAAGCTCTAGGTCAATCAGGGCTATAATTGTAGCTGTAGTGGCTGTTGTGGTTGTGACGAATGAGGATTCTGAAAATTATTTGGTAATTTTGATCATGAAATGGGTCAAAATAATCCTGTAGGCCTTCCTCTTCAATAAGCCGCCTCGCCGAAGTGCTCTAGAAATATTTGGTTTAGTTTAGGTTTAGTTCATTCATTGAATCATCCGCAGGCTCACATGACCGATTATCAAACCGGGTTTGGCAACCTGGTTGTCTGCGTCGCGCAAGTCGCGTCGAGAGGAGGTTATCCTCTGTCGGCTTCGCACAGGGCACACTTTCGGTACCCATGGACACCTTATTGGCGTCGGCCCAAGACCTGTTTGTGCGAGATGTGGCGACAGACTTTCCGTCCGACACGTTTTTCTGGAGTGTCCGAGACTGGAAGCTGAGCGGCTCAAGTTTCTGGGCCTGCGCGGAGCCCAGCTTTCTTTGAGAGCAGTCTTAGGTGACGAGTCCTCTTTGCTAGACTCTTCTCGTCTCTTTTCGTTTATTGCGGCCTCCGGCCTTCAGGTGATTTTTAACGCCCGACACTGAGGAAGTCAAATAAGAAATGGGCGCGATATAGCCTCGCAGCTGGTGCGCCCTGTCACTCCAAATCATCATCATCATCACATGACCGATTAAACCCGCGCCGGGCGCGGGGGGGGGGTGTTTGACCACCCCCCCTGCGGTTTTTCGCAGATATCTCAAAAACGGTTTTGGCACACCTGTTTGTGCATCTTTTCCGCACATGTTGGGAAAATTTCAGACCCAGGTCACCTTAGGTCAGGTCACCAGGTCACGCCAAGTGACCTCACCTCAGAAAAATTAAGAATGCTCGTCATAGCTACACCGACTGAACGATTGCCTTGAAACTTGCAGCGATTGATTAGAGCAACACTATCTATAAAATGTATATCTCGGAATTTTGATATTGGTGACCTAAGGTCAGGTCAATTTTGCGGCCTCTCCATTATAAGTCAATGGGAGAAAATTGAAAAGCGTCTGTTTTGCACGAACGCCATTCTAGACACTCTCAAACATCGAGATATAGGTAAAAGTGACACATTGAACCAGAAAATGGCAACTCTGACCCCCTCGTTATGTCCCCGAGGTCATCTCAGGTCACGAACAGAGTCTAACAGTTTTTCGCTAATAACTTCTGATAGAGGCGTCCTAGAGCGCTGAAAACACCTTAGATGTGTTCGGCTCGACGTTGCGGATCGACTGATATGCAACATGGTCAGGTCATGACCTTGACCTGAGGTCAAATTTTCAAGTTGACCCTTCAATGTCAAATTATAGTTCATTCGACGTGTTTCGACGAGAGGAACACGATGCTGGCAAAAAAAATGTCATGGCTCCTTTGAGTCAAAAGTTATTGCCGAAAAAACGTTTTTCGTAAAACGGCTATTTTTGGAGTTTTTGCCCTCTGGAGGCTAAACCGTTGACCTGAGGTCAAATCTGAGAACATCAATCAGAAAGGTCTGTAAAAGGGCTATCAAATGCGCTTTTCCGCGGCACTGTAGCTCTATCGGTTCCCGAGATAGCCGTTGGCAGTTTCCAAAATGTTGAAATAGTCAACATTTTACCTTTGGTGACCTCTGGTGACCTGACCTTTGACCTGACCCAAAAAATGACCGAAGTGTTTTCGTCCTTATTTTGGACGTTCTTTCGATTGCCGCTTACCGCGTGTCGCTACGTGGCCCAGGAGCCGAGTTAGAATGGGGGGGGGGGGGTGTTCAGACACCCCCCGGCCCGGCGCGGAATCTCAGAGCACCGGCCCGGCGCAGGTTAAGATAAAGAAATAAATACTTACAGCACCAAGACCCTGTAACATAAAAGACAGGTGCTCACCGCTAGATGGCGCTCAGCACATTACCTCCTCTGATAAAAGCTCTGGTGCCTTTTGTCGGCATTGCGGTGAACATTGATGAACATGTGGCAATTTCATGCTAACTTTCATCGCTTCTCGGATGGTGTGCACTATTAAAAAAGTGCAACAGGAGCGGCTATAGGTCACTTTCAAGTTTTAGTACAAGTTCTGGCGTTTCCCATTTGAATTCGTCCTGGATTTTTTTTTTCGAAATGCATACGAAAGGGCCCCTATGTCAGACAGAGGCAAGGAGATCACGTGTCGAGTTACGTGTGTTCCGTCAGAATCGGTTCATTAGTACGAGGACTTAAGTACAGAATGTTTCAAAAATTTTGACTGTCAGTGGGCTCAATGGTCTGAATTTTAGGACACGAAATTATTGGCAAGTGGTTATGTTGCTTTGACGTTTACAAGGCGCTACTTAACAACGATCTAACGTTTTGCAAGTGAAATAAATAGGATTGCTTGTTTTGGCCTCTTCAATCGCACCCCCTTCATCCCCTCCCTCACATTAGATTTAAAAACAGGGACCTAAAAGTTGCTGACGTTTGGTAGCTTCTCGAGATAACGGGGGTTTGAAGTTCCCTTGCCACAAAGCGAGTCATTTAGAGCCCGCTAAGAGACATTTTTTTTGGGCTAGAAATTGTTGAGCGGAGACAGAAGGGAGGCGGTGTTGATCGCTGTTGGGTTGGGGGAGGTGAATCTGGTGTCAAATAAACCCGCTAGTTCATGTATGAGTTTTTTTTTTAGGAATGAACTCGCACGCAAAATGACCTTTGCAGTCGAAGCGCCCTAAAGCGCCGGATTAACTCAGTCTCAGTGCTTATGGGGCATGACCTCGTGACCCCTCTCGGGGCCCTTTCCGTGTCATCCTGAGTAAAAGCATGGAAGTTCATGGGGCTGATTAGTAGATGGGAACTCTGATGATGTCATGGTTGCAATGATGATGTGATATGATCCTGCAATTGCAGCGTAATCTTGGTTGAAGGGGTACCTGGACATTTTTACGCTGTAGTGCGTTTTGATGGAAGCGATGGAGGCAAGGTAATGCTATATTGAGTGCATTGGTAGTTAGTAGACCCCGGCGCGTGGCGCCCGGCGCCGGTGCACGTGCGGTGCGCCCCGGCGGGCCGGTGCAGCGGCGGGCGGCAGTCTGGGCGGTGGCGGCGGCGGCGGCGGCGGCCGCTGCCACCACGTGGTGTCGGCGCCGCCCACCTGAGCGGCCGCGCGCGCGGGACCCTGGCCCTGAGTCGGCCGGGGAGTCCCCGAACAGCTGACCGGCCGGCCGCCGGCCGACGACACACACTCGGCCCGCTGCCGGCCGCCCACCATTGAGAGCGGCGGCGGCGGCGCGGACGGCGAGAGCGCGCGCTCGGGCCCCGCCGCTGGCCGGCCGGCGGCACTGGCGGGCCCCTGCGCGCGCGCTCACTCGGCCGCCGGCCGGGCTGGGCAGCGGCCGCGGCAGGTCCCGGCCGGACTCGACTCCCGGTCCCCGGCTCCCGGCCGCCGCCACGCACCCGACGGCGCCCACCGCCGCCGAAAGGCGCGGCATTGCCGAAAATCGGCCGGCCGGCGGCGGAAAATAGCGGGCGCAGGGCGGGAACATGTTTTCGAAGTGAGCTTGCAGTCGAAATAGCCGTAAAATAGATTACCGTCAACAGCATTGATCAACAGACAACAATTTTTTCACAAGCGCATCGTCAAGTATCTGATTAGTCCAAGATTTTCGAGATTTCACGCTTGGTCATATATTACTTAGGACACACTTAACAACTTCGTCATTGGAACAACAGCTTCACTTAACAACACATTGTGTTCAAACTCGCCCGGCTTTTCGAAACACCAAGTGAAGGGCCGTCCATCGTGAAGGCTTGTTTTCTACACGAGCCCCAATCGTTTTTAATGTTCCCGATCTGTCTCGGTGTTACAGGCCGCGAGCATAAAATTCGTTCAATTTTCAACTACGAGCGCTCTTCAAATCACATCAGTCGTCGCCTTCAGAGCACTTTTTCTTCTCGCAGCTCAATGAAGTTCCTTGCTCAGTGGCAGTTGCCATTCTACGCAGTAAGCGACCAGCACGTGGTTGGAATTTTCTTGGAATGTTTTAATCCACCGTTTGACGAGCGCCGATGGCCTACTCAGTCCGGGCGCTCGTAAAATCGGAACATGATGACGTGGAAACAGCGCTTAGCAATGGCACAGTGCATGCTTTCAGGGCAAGTGGTTTCTTAGAAATATTTCAGTTCTCCTTTTGTCAGCCGGAGTGCTAAGTTTGGTATTTCGAAATTTGTTTTCTTGCTAAGTTTGGTGATTTTAACTTGTTTCTTATCAGAATTTTGGATATGTAAGCTTGCCGATGCGATTGCTGATCGAAGTCGAATATGAACTATGGCCGACAGAGGTAGCATGCTTCTTCCTGAGCTCGTTCAGAGACGACCAGAGCGCCGGACTGCAAAGGTCATTATCTCGACGTGGGGTTACGAGCTCGGCTGGTTACAGTCGTCAGCGCCCGAACTAAACAAACCTGTGATCCGCGACGTGGCTGAGGCCCGTGATGACGTGATCGAGCCGCAGAGTGCTCTGTCCAAACTTGGCCGCGTGCGTGGTGCGAGACCTCGTCCCGGTGGAATTTACCATCTTGTCAAGACGGGTCCGGAGACCTGTGCACTTCGAACAAGTCTGTACTCAATGGCTGCAATTGTATGAGTGACGGCATTGTGCAGTGTGCACGCGGCCAACACGGAGTCAACAGATTTAGAAGTTGAGGCCGTATGTGCCCGCTATAGTGTCGCTTAACGATCCATTAATTTAGTTATAGCTCTGGTTCTGGTCCGTGCTCTTTGATGGGTCGGCGACTGCACAATATCCTGTTTGATCGTTCATCCGCTATAATCAGCCAGCCTGTTTTCGTTTGATCACAGGTCTCTGATGTGGACGTCGTCAATCCTTCCATTAACCAGTTTGTACCAATCCCGAATAGTTCCGTGAAGTGTGAGGTACACTTTTTTTGTCTTGGTTATAGAACAATAACCGCTGATGGAATAGTTCCTACACGTATGCTCGAATTAATTGAAGGATAAAGCACCAAACATCCATCCATCCATCATTGCATCCGCATAAGCAGCGCCAGTCACCGGCAGAGTGCCAGCGTCCCTCCCCCTTTGAGGAGGCTGGTGCCAAAATCTGGCCAGCCGGCTTTGGCGCTTGGTGCCAGGTTCTGTCTGGTACGTGGTGTAGTAGCCTCTGAAGACTGAGGCGCTCTGAGAGTTGGAGTGCACTGTCGTCAGGCCAGTCATAGTGATATTCCATCCTGATAGGTAACCGGCAGAGGTGTGTACGGAGCGTATGTACGCGTGTACGGGCGCCCAGATAACGCCTCTGCCGGCGCTGCCACCGGGTATTTGACTCGCTGACCGTTGGCCGCCGCGGCGCCCGATCGGTTTTACGCGTCGTGTGATAGGTGAAGAGGGCAGTGCGGAGGAGATAGCCGCTCTTCCGTTGAAGTCTGGCCGTGTTATCTACTACCACGCGACTCTGAGACGTCAGCTCGGTCGTTGGACCGCGCCGCAGTGTAAACAGTGCACGGTGGGCTACGGAGGGCCTGTAGTTACCAGGACTGGTTATGGCTACCTGTAACACATGGGCGTTATGCGCGCTCAGTTGCACGTCCTGCTTCAGTGCGTTGCGGCTGGATGATACCGCAGTTGTCGCAGCGATCAGGATATGTTCTTAAATATAGTAAGTGTTATCTGGAAATAAACCGAGCTATAGTTCGTTTTTCTTAAGTTTGCCCTTCACTGTAAACGTCTTTTTGAACAAAGCACGAGAATCGCTAGCTGAATTACTGAGAAAACTGGTTAACGCACATTGTATTGTAGATATGAATAATATTTTCAAAAATAAGTTTTGAACACCGACGATTTAACGTTATGTTAAGCGCCGTGCAATTTATTTATTAGTTCAGACATAATTCCTGAAAAGTCGTCTATCCCTGTGGGGCTGTAGGTATTGGCAAATACGAGCTACGAGTCTGTGAAATAGTAAATATATTTGATGAAATTGATCGTCTGTGAAATCTGGTCAAATCAATGTGCGCCAACCAGTTTTCTCAGTAATTCAGCTAGCAATTCTCGTGCTATGTTCAAAAAGACGTTTACAGTGAAGGGCAAACTTAAGAAAAACGAACTATAGTTACAGATGATCTTCTTGCCTCCTATGCTACACAACGGGGAAGTCTGTAATAGGTGTCTGAAATGGCGTGGTACTAAAAAGTAAAAATGTAATATCGGAGGAATCCTCTACCGGCACGGGTGCTTTCAAATTCACGGTCTAACATTGCTCCACGGTAATCCTGTCAGGCACCAGCACACGCCACAGTCCATTCCATGAGCACAGCTAACGGCGGCTCAGACCGAACAAAGTCGGGTTTTTACCGAACGGCTGGCGGCAAATCCTGCCAAGTTGCTGTCTTATGCCGATTAATTCCAGAATGTGTCGATCCTTTCGTGACTTGTCGCCTCCATACGGCACTGAAAATGTCCAGCACGAGCCTCCCTAAAAATGTATGTATATCCGACTAACGGTTAGGTCTAGACCGACCAGCAAGGGAAGCGTCTGTGCTTTTCCAAGGTCAAATTAACCTCCCAGAACGCCAGCTGTGTGTGATGCATGGCGTACCGTGTGCTGGCTAGGGTGATCTGTGGTGATCGGACGTGTTCTGCCCCCGACTGTGACTGAGCATGTGCCTGTGAACGTACTCTATAACCCTGCCTTGTCCGATGATGTTGATAAGGCGGGAGCACAGTGCCTGACGATTGTAGCTCCTTTGATTATTGTAATATGTGGTCAAAAGCTTTGTTTGTCTTATTGGGCACGATATTTGTCCAGTTCGAAGCATCCTAGCTCCATCTGTTTTCAGCTGTGCTGACGATGATCCTTTTGAGATCAGAAACAAATTTTTATCTTTACCAAGGCAGCCATCATTTTAGCTTACATTTGTTCTCGCAATATTCTTTTGACTTGTTCATTGTGCAATGGATGGAGGCATACCTAGTCAGGGCTGAACGTCAAACGTTCCAACATTGCACAATGCACATGGTCTTCCGTCCGGCCGTGTGACCTGCACCGCGTCATGACGGCCGCCGCGCTGTACTGCTGGTCTGCGGTCCAGCCGTGTGTCTTTCCACTGCTGTGCCGCCGTTCCGCGGTCCCGTTCCGCCTGTCTGACGGCTGGTTTCCGTTCCAGGTGAACGACTACAACGAGTGGGACACCCTGGCACCTCTGTTCGGCATGCCTATGGCCTGCGTCAACGTCGGCCTGGCTCTCAAACAGATCTACCTGAGGTGAGTGAGAAGTTGGGTCGGGTACGGGATGGAAGGTGCGGAACAGACGCCGCGGAGCCGCCGTGCCGCGCCGCGCCGCGCCGGGCCGGGCGGTGGGCGGTCATGACCCGCGGTGCGCCGCGCGGACTAGGGCTGATAATCCCGGGATCGGGATCCCGGGATCCCGGGATTGTATTAATCCCGAATCCCGGGATTAGAAGCATCGGGATTTCGGGATCCCGATATTTTCCGTACAGAAACATCGTTCATAAAGTGTAGCTGATAGTAGGTATGTAAAAAAAGTCAAGTGAGTAACAACGCATTACAGTGCAGTTTTATGTCCAAAGATCTTACTTACGCCGTGCAAAGTCGTTATGCACAAGTATTGGTTACATATATACCTAATTGACATTGTTTCACACCGTCTCAGCCTTCACAATGTGGCGAGAGACGAGCTCTCTCTCGGCTCATATCTCGCTCCCCGCGACGTCCCTCGCGTACTCGGTTTAACAGATCATTTTGCACGATGACATACTATGCCGACTATCGAATTCGAGTCCATCGAGTGGGAGGAGGTCGGCCGTCTTTTCTGTGTGACTGTGGGAGCACGTCTGGTGGCTCAGTTACTGTCAGTGCCCCGTGGCTGGACGATCCATGAGGCTGGCCGGGCGCCCTGGGCATGGTTACCGTTAGTGAATAATTAACGTGCCTTTGTGATAAGCTATAGCTAACTTTGCCAAAATGTCGGATTTTGCTGAATTTAAAGGCAGTGCGGTGTGGGAACATTATCTAAGAAGTCAAGATGGCCATACAGCAAAGTGTCGTCATTGTAAAAAGGTACTGAAAATATCTGGAGGTTCCACCAAAGGACTTCACGTCCACCTCAGGAGCAAGCATGGTGGTATGAGTGTTGCTGGACCATCCCGATCCGGAGAGACGCCGCAAAACGTGTCCGGCGAAGGATTGCATGTAAACTGTCTGATGCGTTGAAACAGCGCATCCGACAGAGACGGTCACGTGCGGCTAAAGTCCTACAATCGCTCCATAACAAAATGTCGGCAGACAGAGACTGGAAAGATATTTTTCCTAGTGCCTCTCGCAAGGAAGCACAGGACTTAGTTGTCCACATGATGGAAAGATTGGGAGAACAGATGCATGATACCGAAGTAGGTGTAGATACAGAAGTGATGGACGCTGATGATCCTGAATCAGCGCCGTCTCTTCAGTCGATGCTTCAACAAGCTCTAGATGAGGTTAGAGCTCCAGAGCAAGGCACCAGTTCATGCCCGTCTGGGATTAACTTTTCGCAATCTTCTTTGATGATGACGAAGGCCATAAGGAAAGAATTGGAAAATTTACCTATCTCAGGAAGGACAGGCATGGTAGCGCTGTCCTACAACTGGCTGAAGGGCATAGTTCCTACGAGCGTTGAATCGGAACGAGTGTTTTCCACTGTCGGGAATATCGTCACAAAAGTGCGGTCGAGTCTCGGCGACGAAGTCGTTGATGCACTTTGCTTCCTCAAGTGCTACTACCGTAACAAGTGAATGTGACCAGGACATGCTGCTGGTCAGACGACCACAATCCGTAGGCACGTCTACTGTATCCTGACTCGAAATATAAACAAGAAATACAATTATCAATGTCATTCATGCTCTTATATTTGTTCGGGGTGAAGGTGTATGCCTGGTATTGTGTTTATGATGGTAAGGATGCGCCATATACATACGATATTGCAAGAAAATTCTGCTTTGTAGACAGGTTAAAATAAAAACTGCTCAATCCCGGGATCCCGGGATATCCCGGGATTGCATTTCTAAAATCCCGGGATCCCGGGATTGCCAAAAAGTCCCGGGATTATCAGCCCTAGCGCGGACCGCCGCGCAGGCCGACCGACCACGCGGTCTGAGCACCTCATTGACATTCAGGCGGCCACGAGGCGGGCCGCTGCCCGGCCCGGCCCAGGCCGACCTTACCTGCTCAGCGCGGGCGGTTAAGGCCAGTTTACGTGCCTATCGTCGGCCCCATCTGACAGTGGGGAGCCGCTGTTCGTCCACCGACCGCCACAGGTTCGGGCGAGCCTCTGTGGAGCTGAGCCCCGGGACCCAGGGGTCGGAGTTCTCAGAATCGTTGGCCGGAGATGAAGTCCCACACGACTTTCCGTGAACTTGGTCCGGGCGCCGATGTGTCCATTCGATCATCCGCTGGCATCTGTAAGCGCGTGGTTGCTGCGGGATCTGCTCCCAGCCCCAGTTCTGCACGGTGACGCGGTGTTGGTACCGGTCGCGCGATTGGGATCGCTGCCTTCCCCTCCCCCTCCCTGATCTGCTGACCGGAGCAGTCTGGCGCGCCGTGCCCGAGCGCCCGGTCGCGTTCGGAGGATTGTGTTTATGGACGCGAACATTGTGAACCACAGTTCCCACGCGGCCACCACACCGCGGCGCCGCCCAGGGGTTCTCAACTCGCTCCTCAGCAGACTTCGGCCACCCGAAATGGTCGTGCCCGGTCGATTGCTGGCTCAGCAGGCTGTCTCAACTGTTTTTCAGTTGATTTGCTGGCTCGTTTTGCCGAGCCTGCTAAAATAGGTTATTGGATTTGTATCCACGGACTCGTACCGTCGTGTCAATGTGGGATGTCTGCAGCTGCACGACCGTGCCACCATTCCTGCCCTCCCGGTTAGGAGTTCTCGATCCGCCTCTGCGGCTCAGCCACACCGCGAAGGAAGCGTGGCAGGTTCGCAGCTTTGTCGGGCACGTCCGAATAAGAACATCGTCCGCGACTCCTGTGCATACCCTCCCAGGCTTGGTGCCGGGCAGAGTTTCGTGTCTGGACACTTTTCTCCCTCCTTGCTCCGGTACGCTCGGCCAGCGGGCCGTGAAGTCATGACACGGCGTCCCATGACTGTGACGCCGATCACCGCCGCCGCCGCCGCCGCCGCCGCCGCCGCCGAGCGCATTGTTTTTGTTTGCGGCACGCCGCCGTACCATCCAGTCGGTCGGCACGGCGGCGGTCCGGCCGGGAGGGAGGGCAGGAGCCTGGCGCCGCCTCTGCCGGCCGCCGGGCGGCCCGGCTCAAATCGATAGCGCCCGCTGCCGGCGGGCCGGCCGCGCGCCGCCGCCAGCCGCGTATTGATTCGGCCGGCCGGCGGCGTTGGCGGCGTCTAATTTTAGCGGTGTGTCTGCGGCGGCCGGCCGGCGGCGGAGCGGCGCTGGGGGCGCGCCGGACGCACTGCCGTACCGCCCGCCGTCGGGACGTAGTAGCGGCGTGTGTGTGGCGGCGGCGTACCGTCGACACGCCTCCGACGGCCAATGTCGGACGTTGGAACGCGCCGGCGGCGGCGGTCGGAGTCACGGGCGGCGCCTCTGCCGTCCATCAGCTGCCGGACGGCCCGGGCTGAATGACCGAGACCCGGGTGTGGGCCGGCGGCCGGCGGCCTCCGCTGGGCGCAACATGTCGCACGCACAGGGCTGGGGGCGGCACGCTCGGCGATGATCACACCGGAAGTGGTGGCAGTCTCACGCTCACCCTACCCTCGCCCGCCTCACGAGCGTCAGCTGGCTAGGCCGCGGGGTCAGCCCGGTCGGCCCGCATCTGTTCCAAGCTCGGCCCGTTTCCCGTCATGTGCGGTCCGTCCGCGCTGGGCTCTGGCACGCCTTGGTACGACATGCCAGAGGCTCATCCGCATCGGTATCTGACAATATCTCAGATGATGACCGACCGCGTCGCGGCGTCCCCAACCGGCGGGGTTTTCCATTTCCACTGCGCAGTGGCGGCGGTGGACGGTCGCGCGTCACAGACCGACCATCCGCGCTCCGCCGCATTCTCCGCTCCTGACTCCGGCGACGACGACCTTGTCCGTCTTCCGCGGCGGGCGGGCCGGCGACCGGCGCGCGCCGGCCGGCCGGCCGCTCGGTTTTGGCGCGCTCGGACCCTAGTGGCGCGCGAACCCGGCTGGTCAGCTGGCGGCGGCCGGCCGGTGATGAGCGCCCGATGAGTTGCTGATAGCGGCGGCGGCGGCGCGGCGGTTACCGGGCGGGCTGGGTATGCAGCCGGCCGACCGACCGGCGGGCGGGCGGGCGCACCTGCAGCGCCGCTCGGCACACGCGGCGCGATCAATAGGCCGGCCGGCGGAGCGTGCAGGCGTCGGCCAGCCGGCCGGGTCCGGCTGTGCTCCACATGACTCGGCACGGCCCGGCGTGATGGGTCCGCGGCCGGCCGGTGCCCGAGACCGATCACCAGACACGGCGCCGGCCGGCCGGCCGGTCCAACAGGTCGGCCGAGCGCCGGCCGCGCCTGGGGAGGGGAGGCAGGGGCCGTCTGGTCGGCTGACGGTCACGTGGATCAGGCTCTGATGTCTCGTGTAGCTGTGGTGCGGTGCCATGCTGAACAGCAGACTGCGATGAGTCAGTCGTTGGGTACGGTTGGGACGGGGGCATTTGGATGGTGTATGTTTTTAGGCTGACCGGCATGATATCTGAATACAGCCTGTTGCTTCATGCGTACTCTCCAGTGCTGGAATGGAAGGGTGATGCGGTGTCGGTATGAAGATGGTACTCTGCATCGACATTGACAATAATTTACATGTTGTTTGGACTGCGCTGCACTGTTGTACAATACCCAGCCTAGGCTGGACGAGCCTCATTTCAGCTCGTATATGAGTTGAGCGGCACCTATTCGCCATTATCCGTCCCCCGACCGCGGCACCAGCGTCCGCACCCTCCTAGATCGGCCTGCTCCTGTGGTCAGCTCGTTACCCCATTCGGTATCATTCGTACCGGTTCTGGGCCGGTCGGCCCATTCATTTCACCACCGGCAGCCGTGTTTCCGACATGTTCGTCCAGAGGGCATCCCGTACCATGCACCGGACTTGTATGCCGGGTCGGGGTGGGTGAGGCTGGTGCACTGCCTCTGCCGCCGCGGGTACACTGTCGCCGTAGGGCAGCTCCAGCGCCGTGCAGCCATTTCTGGCGTGATGTCTGGTCATTAGCGGCAGACCGGTGCGGTGGAATTGACGGAACAAACACTGGTGGAGACGCTGGAAGCCGTCGGCAGAGCTGTGGGGAGGGAAAAGGGCTGATGGATGGAAAGAAGGGACTGCTCGAAACAGGGGAGGGGCTGATGGACGGGATGCGAGTTACCTAAGTGTGGAACTACCCAGCGCCGAGCCGGCCGGATGACGTCACACCACGGCCAGTGCCCCCGACCAAAGTCACCAATCAGAGCCCTAGAATCGACTTGTAGTTCCACACTTAGGTAACTCGCGGACGGGATGGGACAAACAGATTGGTGGAGACTGGGACCCATCGGACGGTGGAGAGCGGCGATGGGCATTGGGAAGGGTTGAATAGACGGACAGTTGTGAAAGCATTATGGACCGCCCCAGGTCGGTGTTTGTGTCTGAAGCTCGTGTTTGTCCCGCGTGCCTGTCTGCCTCCCCCCGTGTACCCGCTGCGAGTTACCTAAGTGTGGAACTACAAGTCGATTCTAGGGCTCTGATTGGTGACTTTGGTCGGGGGATGACGCTTATAGCATGACGTCACTCGCGTACTTGGCCGGACCAACGGCGCAGCGCAGGCGCGCCGAGGCAACCAAGAGGCTCTCAAACTCAATTGTACAGATCCTGCGCATTGAATGGCGAAATTTCGGCGAGTTCGCTTGAGTTTGGAAGCCCCTGCCAGAGAACTGGAGACGGCCGGATTATTTGCTGGACAGTGGGCAGCGCAGATGGCGATTGACGGTGCCAAAAAGATGATAGGGAAAAAGGGGTTGAGACTTCAGCAGTGAATTATAAGCCTGTTGCATAGCTGAGTGGTAAATTGTAAAATACTTAGGGTTTGAAGAGATGCAGTGTAGTTTAGCCGACTCAGGGGCATTCTGCCGAGTGTAAGGCGGAAGGGTCGCAACTCGCAAGTCGTTTGTTTCCATGATTGCCTGATTAAAATGTAAAGCGTACCTAATGTTTAGTTGACAATACAGCGAGGTTGGGCATCTGCTCAATCCATTTCTTCTCCGCAATAGTGCATTCGCCACTGCAATTCATTGTAAGAGGCACTGGGCTGCACCGCCTGTTAATTATTCCGAAACCACGTGAATTGTCACAGTCACTCACAACAATACGAATCGTTCAGTCGTGCGCTGGGGGTCCGCCAAGTTTGAGTGTGCTGCAGAATGCAGACTGGACCGCCGATAATATAACACTTCCGTCTCCCTGGGCGAGCGGCGCATTGGAGCCGAAGGAAACTGCTTCAGTTTTTTTTTGTGGGGAAGATACCCATGTTTGAAAATTATGTTCTGGAATGATGCGATAAGGAAAAGGACGGTTTCTTGAATTGAGGGCTGTGGATAAGGAGCAGATTTTCTCATTTGCTACCCGATGCAACGGGAAAAGACGCAAATGCTGCACATTGGGCTTAATAAGTCTAATAAAAGATAAGGGACTTCGTGAATCATGCCTAATTGACCGCGACCCAGTTATTTGCCACTGCAGGTAGGTACTAGGTAGGTAGATACCCATTTGTAAACAGAGCGTTCCACCAACCCTCGCCAGAAATTCAATCAGCAGTTGCTTATCTTAAAACGTTTGAGTGCACTAACAACCTTTAAAAATGACGTCCTCCCTTTCAATGGTTCGTTCGAAGACACAAAGCCAGAATCAGCCAAGCAATATCGGAATCCATTGCGCAGTGTGTCGACTGTCGGATGTGCCCATCCACATAGCATAGCACACACTGCTAAATGCAGGTACGCTCACCTACACATTAGGTATTCGAAGGACTCGATAGCTCATACACATGGAAGAAACACATGAAATGTGATTAATAGCTGCAGCAGAAGTTTGGCGTCCGATGCCTCTTCGCCAAGTTAAGACCATGCCAATCTCGGCCAGTCTGCCGCTGCGCCGGCACTGGCCGTGGTGTGACGTCATCCGGCCGGCTCGGCGCTGGGTAGTTCCACACTTAGGTAACTCGCGTACCCGCTGTCGGCCGCTGTGTCTGTCCATGTTTGTGGTCTGTCTGGTGGTGTGTTTGTGTCTGCCGCGCGGTTTGTTTGGGCCTGCAACACCGCGGGACTGCTGCTATGGCTGGACACTGAGCGGTGATGTGGCGACACGCAACGACACAACACGAACCGCCCGACACCATTTCCGTATCGACGTTTTTACGCCGAGCTCCCGAGCAGCCTTACGGCACCGCGACGGCCATATGTGTCCCTGGAAGGGTACCTGAGCTGTCTCCGGCAGGCCGATACCGTGCCAAGACGGAATGCAAAGAATGGTACCCTGATTCTGTGATAGGTTCGGTCCTGAAAAGGTTTCGTACTGCTGTTTACTGTGACGCTTCGAGACTTCAGTGTGAGTGGTCTCACCCAAAGACCCGGTTTCGTTTGAACTCTGTTGGAACCCATTGTACGCAGTGGAGGCTGGTGGTGTATAATTTCGTGGATGTTGGTCCTATGAATAATTGATATCCGGATTTACGCCGTTGTTTCTGCTGAGTTACGTGTACGTACACAACGCGAACCTAAGGAACGCTGGGTCAATAGAGCCGCTGTGTCGTTTGCAGGCTTTCAACTGTGTTTACTGGTTGACTAAGACGACTTTCTGTGTTTAAACAGAACTTCCAAATCGTGGTAATTCCAAAATTAGTCAAGTGGTTTGTTGATTCCTCGTTACATTGAAATACCCGTCGTCACCCACGTACTTCACAGTTCATACTGCATTTCTCACTGTTCCCATCAAATATGCTTTCTAGTTTCTCTTCGATTCATCTCAGGCTGTGCCGTGCCAGTTCCTGTGATATCACTTACAGGCCGCACATATTCCTGTCTAACCCCCATTATGCCTCCACCAGGTATCTGGACCACTACGAGAAGGTGCACTTCCACGGCGAGGAGCTGTACGGCCGGCACGACGATGAGATGATCATGCACGACTCGACGTCGCGTTCATCGCGACGGCACAACGTGCGCGCGCTCAACGCCGTGCCGATGACGTACAACAGTGGACAGCACATCGTGTCAGGTGAGCACGCTGACGAGGGAGAGAATATTTGGAATATGATATGCCTGTTCCATGAATATTTATTGAATATTATGTAATGGAATATTTCCGAGTCCGTTGGCGTTGTGCATTTGTTTGTACCCATTGACGGATGTTGCCGAGAACTAAGACCCCATCCCCCTTCCACTTTATTCCGCTCCGTCCGGTCCGCGCTGACGGCTATCAGTCTTTGCCGACCTCTTAGTAGAGTGCTATGGATGCTAATGACCGATGCAGTTCAGGCGCCCCTAAAACCCAAGCATCCTCCTTACCCACTGACGCTGATCCCCCCCCCCCCCGTCGTCAGACGCGCTCCGTCAGTCGCTGGGGATGAGCGCACCACGTCAACCTTCCGAGTACGACCGGCTACTGCTGTCACTACTCGGACCTCTACCCAACGAGCAGGACTTCGCCATCAACCTGTGCACCCTGCTCAGCAACGAGGGACGCCACGAGCTGAGGCTCAACAAGCACCCCCGGCTGCTGGGAGCTCTCCTAGCTCACGCCGGTGTTTTCACAGACGGTAAGCGTCATGAGTGAGGGGTATGTTCAATGCGGGTGCATTACCGGCAGGTCAGCGGGCGGTTAGGAATGGTGTCGGGCAGGGGATCGGGCCGGGTCGGTCATCCGTCTTACCTGTCCGGCGCCAGAAGTCGGCAGTGAGCTCGGCTGCCGGGTTTATGCACAGCGGTGACCTTGGTACAGATTTATGGCCCCGAAGTTGGTGGAACGGGGGATGACTAGACGCTGGGTTTGTGCCAGAATGCTCGGATACAGGCTGTGTAATGTGTATTGTTAGGGTGGATTATAAGTATTGTCGTTGTGACGAATGTAACATAGAGTTGTCGTTACGACTGATGAAATATAGTAGCATTGCAATAATGTCATTACTTCGCATAGGCAAACCAAACTGACAAACCGCATTTTTGTGACAAAGCCAAACTGACATTTTGCCGTCACCCGCAGGGTACACACAAAAGTATATGCTGGAGAACTACTCGCGCACCAAGCGGCAGAACCTGGTGGCGTTCTGGCGGGACAGTCTCTCTGAGAAGAAGCTGCTGCGGCTGCTGTCGGTGCACTACGCGCCTGAGCGGCGGCCGCAGACCGGGCCGGCCGGCGGCCGTGACCCGGCGCTGCTCTTCTCGCCGGCCCGCGCCGAGCTGCACCACCTCAGCGACAGTGAGAGCGAGGAGGAGCCGGACGCCGAGCTGGAGGCCGAGGTGGCCGCTCTGTCCTCCCCGTCCGGCTCGGCAGCCACGGACGAGGACGACCTGTTCTGTCTGGGCACCCAGCTGGGTGTGCTGGAGCGCACCGGTCACCGGGTGCTCCAGGTGGCTCAGGTGCTCCGCAGTCTCAGCTTCGAGCCGGAGAACGCGGCAGTGATGGCGGCCAGCGCGGCCTGCCTGCGGTTCCTGCTGCTCTGCGCCCACTGCCGCTGGGGCAGTCTGAGCAGCAGTGCGCGGGACACGCTCGGTAACATCGCCGGTGACGTGGTACTGCGTGACGCCGCCTCCGACCGGCTGGGACGGCTGCTGGTGCACTATGTGGCGCGCGGTGTGCAGCACGCCGATCGATCAGTAGTGCTCGCCAGCCTGGAGGTGCTCAACAAACTGGCGCAGGACGAGCGCAACGAGGAGCCGCTGGTGGCCGCGCTGGACACGCGCATTATGCAGACCGTGTGCACCTACCTGTCGCTGCACGACATCCTGCTACTCATCAGCAGCCTCGAGTGTCTGCTGGGACTGACCTCGCTGGGCGAGGACACGTGCCGGGCGGTGGCGCGGGCGCCCGGAGCCGTCAGCATGCTCGTCTCCCTCGTAACTGTGGAGGTGAGTAAAAGGGAATAGACAGGGGAGTAATGCGTCGTCAGGGAGTATGCTCGTCTCCATCGTAACTGTTGAGGTGAGTAAAAGGGATAGACAGGAGTAATAAGTCGTCAGGGGTAGCCAGTGGAGAAGTGTTACGGGGGACGTGAGCTAAATGTGGTTATGTATATCGAGGAATGTAGAAGAGGCATCAAATGCACATAGGTCTAAACGTGTTCGTCGAGTGTTGTTAGAGAAAACATGCAATCTAATTGTTAAGCCTAAGAGCTCGAATCCATAAATGTGGTCGGATCCTGGTTGGAGGGATTCAATAATCATAAAATGGTGACGGGCCGTTAGTGCTGCTAAAGTTCACGGGAACACGTTACATGAAACGAATCGCAGTCATTTGTGGTCGCCAACTTTCAAACCTCAGCTTTTCTCATGTAAATGCGAGCTCTCAGAGGTTTGACAGCTCTTCAATCGGCCACTCTGAATCTTGCTGCTTTGACTGCCGCCTCGACTCCGTAGTCACTGCTGTGCCGTCGGCTGCCGGCCCTGACTTCTGGCTGTGTCTCCACAGGCGCAGAGCTACGGACCGCGCGCCTGTATCCTGATGAAGGTTATGCAAACTCCTGTGACGGCGGCGCCGGCGGCCCTGTCAGCACAACAGCCAGGTCAGGTGGTCCAGCAGTCCAGTCAGCTAGTTCAGCAGCCGGGTCAGCTGGTCCAGCAGCCCGGCCAGCCGCAGCAGGTGCTGCAGCAGCAGCAGCCCCAGCAGCAGCCGGCTCAGCACGCCCCTCAGCCGGCGCCTGGAGCCGTACGAATCCAGCCGGCGCCGACGCCGGGCCAGCAGCCGATCCAGCCGGCGCCGCCACCCCCTCCGCCGCCGCCGGCGCCGGCGACCACGGTGCGCCAGGTGCCGATGCCGTTCATCCAGCCGTCCCAGCCGACCGTCCTGCCCAGTGAGTAACGTTTCGAAGGCCTTCCTAGTGTTCTTTTCCAAATGCATGTATTGACCGTCCGGCTGGTCGCGTAGGCATGTGAAGCAGCGCTTTGCGATAGCACTTTACATTTTGCAGTTTGTATCTGGATATGCGGTGCGGTTGGTCAATTTGTTGTCTGTGTAACTATTATATATCGTGTCTTGTATGCTATACTCCAATGCTGACCGTCCTACCTCTCGCCGTGTGCCCACAGAGGGTCCCACCTCCCACCTGACGGGAGCGCCGACCGAGAACACCCTCTGGACAGTGAAGTGGCTGCAGACGGTGTGTGAGATCTCGGCCGGCCAGAGCATCGAGCAGGGCGTGCTGTACAAACAGTACACCGCCTCGGCGGCCGCCCAGCACTGGAAGGGCATCATCACCCAGGGAGAGTTCGCCAACTGCGTCAAGTGAGTGCTGGGTCGGCCGGCTGGGCGGCTAGGCTGTGACTGGCGGGTCGGCTCACTTCCCAGCTTTTTGGGAGGCTGATCGGCTCGGCTTGATATTTTTTACAACCAGTATTATGTTCTGTTTTATTGATTAACCACGACAGGTCTAGCTGCGTGTGAATGCTGGGCTTGGTGACGAAAACGTCATAGGCTCTGCTACATTTGGATTTATTTTGCTTTCGTGTCGTCGATGTGTAAAAATGTTTGGAAATTAGCTATTTTTGTGCAGCGGTGGTCCGTTAGGAGACTCCTGGCTGCCCCGATGTCCCGTATCGGAGAACTCACTGGTAACTGGGCCGATCCGCCGCCTGTCCGGCTCTGGCCTCTGCTGGTTCAGCCGATGTCATGTGCTGTCGGTGACTGACGTCTAACCCCCACCCCTCCGTTTGCGTCAGGTCGGTGTTCGGCTCGGCTGTGACGGCCGTGGCCCGGCGAGTACCCAGTGGCGTGACCGAGTACCACTTCGAGGGTATCCGCTCCAAGCTACAAATCGTCACCACCGTGGTACAGCAGCCAACGGCGGTGGCGGCGGCGCCGCGGCCGCCCCCGCCGGTCTCCGCGCCGGCGCCGGCGCCGGCCGCCCCGCCGCCGCCGCCGCCGCCACTGGCGTCCTCCGCTCCAGTGACGTCATCCATACTGAAGGCGCAGCTGTCAGCGCCTCCGCGACCCGAGGTGCTGCGCGCCAAGGAGCAACTGCCTCCCGTGTCTAGTCAGGTAGGTGACCGGTCTGTCGGTCGGCTGGGGCGGGAGTGTCGCGCGGGGAGGGTCGGTGGAGGAAGGGTGTACGCCTGTACAGCGCTGTACAGTATCTGACTATCACCCCGCTCACATCTGTGACCGCTCGACAGGCGGTTCCGTCGAGCCCGCGCCTCTCGCAGGCGCTGCTCGGCGGCGGACCGGCGCCGTCCGCCTCCAGCTCGCTCATCAAGTCGCTGCTAGCCAGCAAGGTAGCGCCTTCGCCGCCGCCGCCGACGACCAGCGTGACAGTGTCGTCATCGTCGCCGGCGGGAGGCCTCAGTCCGAGCTGTTTTACCACGCCGCAGGCGCAGGTCCGTTCCCTAGTCCCGTCCCTGGTCCGAAGGGCACAACCTCGCTCGCCGCTCGCCTTCCAAGGTCTCAGCAGTTCAGTCTTGGTGGTGGTGCTTCAGGGGCTGGCGCGTCCTGCAGATATTCGCTAGGTGGCTTGGGTTGTCCCAGCAAGTCACGCTTTCTCTGCTGCTGGTGGCTAGGATGTCCCGGTTCCTGGTATATGTATCACGGGTATCACATTCTCACGCTTAGTGCTAGAGTCCCGCTATGATTCCGCTGGTGTCCGGACTCCTCCAGTCCTCCCCGGACCCGCGGGGTGTCTCGGTTGGTGCTTGTGGTGGCGGTAGTGCAGCTGGTGACGGCTGGGGCCCGCTGGTGACGGTGAGAGGCACGGTCCGCCCTGGTGCGGCACTAACCAGTCTGCAGTGGATCACTAACCGCCTGAGCCTCTTCTGACAGTCCCGCAGCCGAGCTGGACGCAGTATGGTCGTCTAACCGGACCCTTTGAACTGATGACTTTACGACGCTTGGACGTATTGTGCCTTGTTTGACAGTGTTCTGTCCAGCTTCAACTAACCACTCGTAGTGTCGCTAGCTTCTTGTGCCTGCTTTCTACTGTGATGTAGGCATTTTCCTGGTGCATCCAAGTGAAACTGACCAGTCATCACCAGACCTTAGACGTGTTTCTGGCTAGCATCCGGTCAGCTGTAGACTAATCAATAGCTACTGACAGTGCCTGTTCATCTAACCGAATGAGTGTGATTTTACCCTTTTAATCGCGTGAGTTTTGGCCCTGATCATTCTACCGCATTATTTGTGGACATGGGTTTATACTTATGAAACTTCAGGAACATCAGTGCTTTCTGTTTTATCATTGTAATAGTTGCTGTCAACTGTTGGTTCCGTTCTGAATTCTGAATGATGGGTGCTATAACACACCAATGGAGCGAACGCTGCTATAGAATATATCCAACTGTAATTTAGCGCCGACAGAAATTACGACAGATAGGTCCCACGTGAGTGTAAACTGCAAATGATTTTCACTATCACTTTCAGAGCAGTTTTCCGAAATGTGTCACAGTAATCCGTCATGACGAATTAGCTGAAGCTCGAAGGATGCGGCAGTATAGTGTCGCCGGTAGGATGACCAGTTCCTAGCCTGGATGGAGACAGTGTCTGAGTTGGTCTAGTTTCACTGTGGTGTCCTGACGGCTGGTCCCTATTCCCATCAGGTGGCCAGGAACATGCAAAACAAGCGACTGGCAGTGAACGGCGTCAGTGAGGTAAGATGGGAGCTGGGTTGGAAGCCAATGGATGGGAGTAACACTTCTGGGTGACCGGTGACGCCATCTGTGAGGGCACTGTGCGCGTGATATAGGCTGCTGATACTCAGTTTTAGAGTAGTCATATCGAGACTGCTCGCATGGATGGTCAACGGTTTAGAGTTCTTTATCGTGTCTGAGCTGAACAATTTATGCCAGGACGCGTAATTCTTGGCTTTGTGACGACCTCTGTCTCTGATGCTTATGATTTAGCATCTCTTGCTCAGTGATCACCAATTATGTCGATGTGGCGGGTAGCCACCATTGGAGCGTTAAAGGGACTATCCCACCTTCTAGAATTTTGTTAAAACCAGTTAAATTATGCCCGACTTTATAGATTGGAGGACCAGGAACACGGTTCTGGCATTTATTTTTCATTAAACATCTTAGGCTTCCCATATTCCAAACACAAACTGTCACAGCCCAAAATTACCTCCTTCCCCACTCCCCAGGCCACATTACTGTCATAAAGCTAATTCTTTTTACTCTGTAGGCACCACAACAAAGTTCAGACCAAGTTTTAAGCGATTTTTCAACGAACAAACCCATTTAAATCAGAATGACTAAACGAGGTGACGTCACACTAACGGTCGCTCCATGTTGAAGATAGGGCCTTGTGCAAGGCCCATTTTCAAATGAAGGGAACGAATTTCTTCAACACCAAGAGGCCGCGGGGGTTGCAACCTAGATAGATAGTGGTTTCTGAACCTCGCCGCAAACTTGGCTATCTCAACTCAAACCCCATGTTAAAGGTGGGATAGTCCCTTTAACACTCTCGCTCTCGCCCTCCACACAGAACGAGCCGCCGACGGAGCAGACGCCACCGCCGTCGGACCCGGCGGCCGCCGGCGACGGGGCCGTGCACAACGGCGTCAAACCTTCTCCGCCCAACTCCAACAGCAACAGCAACGCCGGCTGCGGAGAGGGCCTGCTGGCCGACCTGCTGGAGCGCAAGGTGGCGCCCGTGAACGGCATCGACAAGGAGCTGCGCATCGGAGACCGCGGCCTCGAGCTGGTCAACAACAACAACGGAACGGGCGGCGGCGAGGGCGACGAACAGCCGTCCGGGGCCGTCAACGGCGGCGCGCCGCCCGCCAAACGCAACGGAACCGATCTGCTCGCCTCGGCGCTGGATATGGCCGGTCTGATGGACGACCTGGGAGCCATGGACGACGACGACCCGGCGCCGGCCAGCCCGCCGCCGCCGCCGGCGCCACCCACGCCTCCGCCGGCGCCGGCGGCCACGGCGCCGCAGACGCCGCCCCAGCAGCCGCCGGCCGGCCAGCAGGGCTTCAAGAGGCCGGCCGAGGGGGTGGCAGGCGGAGAGGCCAAGCGTCTGCAGCTGGGCGCCCAGCCGGTGGCGCTCCAGTCGGCGGTGACGGCCGGCGGCCAGCAGGTAGTCATGGTGCCGCAGAGCATGGCCAACATGGTGCTGAAGCTGCCGGCCAACGTCAGTCAGGGACAGCAGCTGCTGCTGCCGCAGGGCCAGCTCATGATGACCTCGTCCGGCCAGCTTGTGCTGGGCCAGCACCAGGCGCAGGTGATGGTACAGGGTGCCGGCACCGGCAACGTGGTGGTGGGTCAGCCGGCCGTGGGGCAGCCGCAGACCGTGCTGGTGGCGCAGACGCCGCAACAGCAGGGCACCGCCACGCGCACACTCATCTTCCTGCCGCCGCACCAGAAGGTGTACGTGTCCCAGCCGGGAGTGACGCACCAGGGGCAGCTGATGGTGCAGGTCACCCGCGCCGGCGGACAGACCCAGGTGGTCAACAGTACCGTGGTGACCGGCTCACGGGCGGCGCAGCAGCACCTGCGCGGCCAGCCGCAGCCCATCGTCAGCGCGCAGCCGGCGGCGGCGGTCGTCCGACCGGCGGCCAGTCCTCAGCCGGCGCGGCCGCCGGCGCCGGCCCCGCAGCACCAGCCGGCTCCGGCTCCGGTGCCGCCGCCGGCTGTGGTGCGCTCCTCGCAGCCGGTGGCGCCGCCTGCCCCGCCGTCGGCGCCGGCGGTGGCGCGCGCGCCTAGCGTGGCGCCGACGCCCGAGAGCGTGGTGAACCGTCCGCTGCCGGCAGGCCTGCTGTGCGAGTGGCGCGGGTGTCTGCGCGGCTTCCCGACGGCCTACGCCGTCTACCAGCACGCCATCGAGGCGCACTGTCCGCCGCAGCTCACCGACATCCCGTGCCTGTGGGAGCGCTGCGACGGCATGATCCGCAAGCGGTACTCGATGATGACCCACCTTCAGGACCGGCACTGTCCCGAACAGGTGAGACGCCGCGGCGCTCGGCGGGGAGGACAGGGTCTGGACGGAACCCAGGACCTACGACTGTGTCGTAGCCGTGCCCATTCTGAGAGTGGAGTCTGAAATATGAAATGATATTTTTTGATAGCCTTTTGCTAGAAGACTTCCACACTCGTAAATGTCACCGTAGTCAGGGCAACTGTTCGGTTTCTTCAAAAGTCTTTCCGGTGGACGTAATGGCTCTTTGACTCATTGTATCGTCATGTGTATGATGAGCACACCCCAACTCGAGTTTAATCAGCCAACAATATTCCGTGCTATTAGCGGAGTAACACCTGTCTCAGCTCACCACGACTCTTCCTGGCACCCTTTTTACACCTCCCCTCCCTCGACAGATGTTGCGGCTGATGCGGAGGCGACGGGAACAACTGCAGGCCACTGGCAAGACGGACATCCCGACGCCGTCCGCCCCGCCGCCGCACCCTGGCTACGCCAACAACGCGGCGCTGCAGGCCATCCGGCGGCACGCGCTCTCCGAGGTGAAGCCGCCGCCCGACGAGAAGGAGGGCCCCGTCACAAAGTCGATCCGGCTCACGGCCGCGCTCATCCTGCGCAACATAGCCGTCTTCTCGCAGCACGGCCGAAGGTGAGCGAAAGGAGGGAGACGAAACGGAGGGAAGGGGAGGGTTGTGAAATATGGATGCGATAGGTCATACGTCATCTAAATATGCAGAGTTAAGTTCTTTCTCAGCTTGCTGTCCGATCGGCCGCCTGTTGAGAGTTGACTTAAATTCAGTGGTAGGACGTTCGCCTGTGTATGTCCCGCGCCTGCCGTGCCGAGCACCTCCGTGCCTGTGCTCTTTCCCGACATGTCTGACCGTGTGTGCCCGTGTCTCGCGTCGGCAGGGTGCTGCGCGCGCACGAGAGCCACCTGCTGAACATCGCCGCCAGCAGCGCCGAGTCGTCGCGCACAATTGGTCAGCTGCTGGCTGATCTGCACGAGGCTGACCCGAGCTGACTGGCGCCGGCGCCGAGCGCCGGCCCGGCCCACCCCCAACTGTGATCACCACTCACCCGACGACACTCATTCTCTCACACCATCTGTAATGTTCATCTGGGCGCCGCCGCCGCCGCCGGCGAGAGCGCCCGCCCACGCCCGCGCGCGCGCGCGTCGCCCCTCTCAGGCTTATTTTGTCATGAATGCGCGCTCGGCGCCGCGCCGCGCCGGCGCAAAGTACAAAGTCGCGTCGTTTTAGGCACCGCAGCGAGCGTGGGCCGTGCGCTCGGCAAATCGGTTGTTGTCGATGTCTTGTTTATGCTCTGGTAACCCTGCGCACTTTCCGGGGTCGTGCCGCCCGCCCTAGGTGGTGTTGCGGCACGCTTTTGTAGGTGGCGAAACTTTTGTATTTACGAGTCGCTGTTATTTATGTCCAAAGTCGAGTTTGTACCATGCCAGACTGCGAGGGTGCGGGCGCGCGGAAGGGACAGGCTAGTCAGCGTGCTCCAACTCGAGTTCCGACAAGTCGTTTTTATTGGAAGGGCGTCCTGTCCTTGCGTGCGCCTTTATCGAATAATAAATTTTATTGCAGCTATGTTGGCAGAGGACGTGTTTGCTTTTGAGACTGAGAGAGGCGCGGGGGCGCGACCCGCAGGGATCGAGTTGGTGAACGGCATCCAGTATGGTTATGGTGTGAGGTATGCTTACCGTTCGAAGGATTGGCCGATTGAAATCAGCAATGGGCTTAGCTCATTGGTGAGCCGAGTGATGCCTAGTTTTTACATCGTGCTCTTCAAGGAAATGTTCTGGGATTTTGATTGCTTTGATTTTGACCTTCATGGGCACAACCGGTAGCAAAAAAAAAAAAACTGAAAGCTCTCTAACAAAAGAAAGCAGTAGGTAAGCTCCATTGCTATCCAGTCACCAAAGCAAGCGAAACCTTTCTACTCAGTCGCTAACTTGAAGTGAGGCCCGATGATGACTTTCCGATGGTTTGAGGATAAAAGCACTCATTGTAGGGCCAACTGCCGAGTAGGTACCTACGTGGGCAAGAGCACGTACACAGATATAGAACCTCAGAGGTATAGGTAGATGCCTAAGCGATTAAGTGGGTAACCCTAACACAGTTTAATCTGTGCCCACTTATTGCCGTTCGAACGTTTGCGATAGGAGCGTAATTTTGTTCTACGTCCACTTGCTGACGTACATTTGCGATGCGTAGTTTTGTACGCAACCCATTTATTATAGAAACCTGACCGACTTGGCAATCAAATTAACGCTGGCACCAACTAGCGAGTTTCTGCCCAAACCTCCTTTAGCTTGGGCTTTCCATTGCTTCATGTCCACGGAAGAATACAGTTATTCACATTTCGTAGATCCCATATCAGTCACCGCCCAACCCTGTTTATCTTCGTGGAACACGTGATATTGCCATGCTAAGGGGCATGACGTCACGCTAGCCCCGTTCACATGGCCGCTGCCCATGGCATGTAGTTCATGGCCTCGCCGCCAGCTGGAGACACTTGTAAGGTGTGGCATATTTACCGTGATTGAGCTAAATATCGATACGTTTGCATGGTAAAGGTGAAAACTAGTGTTCAAGCTTTCGTAAACACTTTCCTGACGGCCAAATTTTAGTCAATTGAAGGCCGTTTCACCTCAAAATAGCAAATTACGAGGTATGCATTTTTGTCGCAGCTGCCCTCTGGTGGCTGGGTTTTACGTTGAATCAACAGTGCACATGTGACCGTGGCCTTATCTGCCTTTGTGGCTTTGTCGGCGATGCAGCGGCGGATGGCCTTGGGCGCTCAGAGGGGAAAACCGGCGGAGCACCGCGGAGCAGACCCAGCAGACCCCAAGGATCGGTAGAAGTGCGATACGGCCTTGGAAGTGCGTAGTGCTTATGTGCTGATGGGGTTGGAGTGTCTCGCATGGTGAGTACCTAAGAAATGTGTTTTTGTGTTTAACTGTTCAGTTTGTCCGACGGGAAGGTGAAATCATGATTCGGCTGTATTTAGGGCCTTGGATTCGGCAATCGGCGTGCAGTGAGAAAAGGCCAAAATATCCTGAGCGGGTTCTACGCAAGAAGGCGCCGCTTCTTTATCTTCATGGTCGACATATAGCGTACCATGTCGCATGTGTCAGTCAGATGCACTTGCTCAGGCATTTATGACATATTGCTTCATTTATCGATTTCTACCCACAGGCCGAGTCCAAAAGGGCACGACCTCCGTCCCCCACCCCATCCACTTTGCTTGCCATTCCAGAGTTTCAGCCAATCAGAAGCGTGTCGGCTGTCGAGAGACGCAGCGAATTCGATCGGACCGATCGGGTCAATCGGCGGCCGGGGAGGGGGGTTTGGACCCCCCCCCCCCTCTGAGAGTTTTCGCAGATATCTGAAAGAAAGCGGCGCTCGCCGCTCCGCGCCGCCGTTTTTGGCACACTGTCCAGTGTCCATGCATCATTTCCGCACATACCTACTGTGAAAATTTCAGACCCAGGTCGTTCAATGTCAGGTCACCAGGCCTGACCTTGAGCCTGGCCGTCAACTAACCTCACCTCAGAAAAAAATTAACTTTCTCGTCACTAGCCACACCGGCTGAACTGGCGATCGATCGCCTTGAAACTTTCAGCGATTGATAAGAGTAACAGTATGTTAAAAATTTACATCTCAGAAAGTTGATATCGTTGACCCAAGTTCAGGTCAATTTCCCCCCCCCCCCATATAATAACCCTCGCTGGACCTATTGGTTTTCTACGCGCCGGCCGAGGGCAGGGGGAGGGCGGGTACACCCCCCCCCCCTGTACGACCCCCCCCCTCGCCGTTTCGCCCCTGGTAGAGCTAGCGCGTCGCCAGGGGCGTAACTTTGTATACTTTTGGGGAGGCAGGTGCCCCCCCAACTTGAAATTTTGCCACCCCAACATTCCGTTTGCCCCCCCAACCTTGGTGGGCGCCCCCAGGCCCGAAAGGCGCCCTCACGGGCCAGCGGCGTCATAGGAGCGCGTGCGCCATCTTTCAAGGGGGCGCCATCGCCTATATGGAAATGGGATGCGTGAGAGGGGAACCTCTGAGGCCGTGGGGGCGCCTGCATGCGAAAGAGGGGCGCCCATGAAGTCCTCAGGGGCGCCTCAATGCAAAACACGGGCGCCTGAGATGGCCACAGGGGCGCCTGCATGCGAAAGAGGGGCACCTTATTGGCCTCTGAGGCCCTTCGGGGTGCCTCTGAGGTCTATAGTATAGGGGGCGCCCACATGAAAAAGGGGCGCCCATTAAGGCCATAATGGCGCCCCAATACGAAAGAGGGGAGACTGCATGCCAAATGGGGGCGCCTCCGAGGCCCATAGAAAGAGGAGCTCCAGTTGAAGCCCAAAGGGGCGCCTCAATGGGAATTAGAGACGCCTGTGAGGTCTATAGGGGCACCTCTGATGCCCATGTCGAGAGAGTCGTCAGTCGTTTGTGTAACGTTCCTCAGGGATGGTGCGCCGCTTGCGGCAAGTAAAAACTTAGCTAAATAGCGTGCCCCATTGGTTAAAAAGCGCCCCTCAAGCCAAAGTGGTGCCCCTCTGACAACACGTACGTCTTATGTCATCTGTTTTGCTAATAACTAATGCCCCCGCATGCAGAGCGGCGCCCCATCCGTTTATCAATGTGACCCTTCAAGTGGATGAAGCGCCCCTCTGGCCAATACCTTATCATCATTGTTGCTAGAACAGCGCCCCCAGTCCGTAGACTGCCCCATTGGCTCCTGAAGGCGCCCCTCGTGCCCGTTTTGGCGCCCCTCTGCACTGAGTAATGAAATGTATGTGGCCTACCAATTCTTAAGGGCGCTCCTTGAGTCATAATCATCGCTCCTCGGGGAGGGGGGGGGGGAGGCTAGAGGGCCTAGATACCATAGCACGCTATAGTGTGTTATGGCATCCCTGCTGCTAAAACGGCACACTTAGCTAGGTTAGCGCCTCAACGGTTCATACAAGCGCCCCTCGAGCCGAAGTTCGCGCTCCTCTGACTTACATAATTTCCTTGCTAAGTACGACGCCCCTCGCTGGGCATGGGGTGGCGCCCCACCAGTTTACCAACGCGCCCCTTTAGCCACATGAAGCGCTCCTCTGGTCAATGCGGTCAATACCTTATTTCATCACTGCAGCTAGAGCGGCGCCCCTATTTCGGTGGCTGTTCCATCGGTTCCTGAAGGCACCCCTCGAGACAGTTTGGAGGCCATCTGCAGTGAGTATTAAAATTAGGGCTGATAATCCCGGGATCGGGATCCCGGGATCCCGGGATTGTATTAATCCCGAATCCCGGGATTAGAAGCATCGGGATTTCGGGATCCCGATATTTTCCGTACAGAAACATCGTTCATAAAGTGTAGCTGATAGTAGGTATGTAAAAAAAGGTAAGTGAGTAACAACGCATTACAGTGCAGTTTTATGTCCAAAGATCTTACTTACGCCGTGCAAAGTCGTTATGCACAAGTATTGGTTACATATATACCTAATTGACATTGTTTCACACCGTCTCAGCCTTCACAATGTGGCGAGAGACGAGCTCTCTCTCGGCTCATCTCTCGCTCCCCGCGACGTCCCTCGCGTACTCGGTTTAACAGATCATTTTGCACGATGACATACTATGCCGACTATCGAATTCGAGTCCATCGAGTGGGAGGAGGTCGGCCGTCTTCTCTGTGTGACTGTGGGAGCACGTCTGGTGGCTCAGTTACTGTCAGTGCCCCGTGGCTGGACGATCCATGAGGCTGGCCGGGCGCCCTGGGCATGGTTACCGTTAGTGAATAATTATTAATTACGTGCCTTTCACCTTTGTGATAAGCTATAGCTAACGTTGCCAAAATGTCGGATCTTGCTGAATTTAATTGCATGTAAACTGCATGTAAACGCGATTGCATGTAAACTGTCTGATGCGTTGAAACAGCGCATCCGACAGAGACGGTCACGTGCTGCTAAAGTCCTACAATCGCTCCATAACAAAATGTCGGCAGACAGAGACTGGAAAGATATTTTTCCTAGTGCCTCTCGCAAGGAAGCACAGGACTTAGTTGTCCACATGATGGAAGGATTGGGAGAACAGATGCATGATACCGAAGTAGGTGTAGATACAGAAGTGATGGACGCTGATGATCCTGAATCAGCGCCGTCTGTTCAGTCGATGCTTCAACAAGCTCTAGATGAGGTTAGAGCTCCAGAGCAAGGCACCAGTTCATGCCCGTCTGGGAGTAACTTTTAGCAATCTTCTCTGATGATGACGAAGGCCATAAGGAAAGAATTGGAAAATTTACCTATCTCAGGAAGGACAGGCATGGTAGCGCTGTCCTACAACTGGCTGAAGGGCATAGTTCCTACGAGTGTTGAATCGGAACGAGTGTTTTCCACTGTCGGGAATATCGTCACAAAAGTGCGGTCGAGTCTCGGCGACGAAGTCGTTGATGCACTTTGCTTCCTCAAGTGCTACTACCGTAACAAGTGAATGTGACCAGGACATGCTGCTGGTCAGACGACCACAATCCGTAGGCACGTCTACTGTATCCTGACTCGAAATATAAACAAGAAATACAATGATCAATGTCATTCATGCTCTTATATTTGTTCGGGGTGAAGGTGTATGCCTGGTATTGTGTTTATGATGATAAGGATGCGCCATATACATACGATATTGCAAGAAAATTCTGCTTTGTAGACAGGTTAAAATAAAAACTGCTCAATCCCGGGATCCCGGGATATCCCGGGATTGCATTTCTAAAATCCCGGGATCCCGGGATCGCCAAAAAGTCCCGGGATTATCAGCCCTAATTAAAATTGATGTGGTTAAGAATGGCGCCCTCTGCACGGTGTCGCACCGATTCTAAAGGGCGCCCCTTGAGTCAATGTAATCGTCCCACAGGGCCTTGTGTGTTATGGTATCCCTGCTGTTAAAGCGCCACTCTTGCTTGGCGTAGCGTCCCAACGGTTCATAGCACCCATCGAGCCAATGTTAGCGCTCCTCTGACTATACTGGTATCCTACATCATCTTTTTTGTTCAAAGGGTGGCAAAATGTGGACCCGAGGACCCGGTCAAAAGAATCGGTCTGGACCCATATGGGTCCGGACCGGTTCCTGGAAATTTTCTGGCGGGTCCAACCGGGTCCTACCATAAACCATACATAGTGGACACTACATATGATTGCAAAATATGAAGTGAATGGAAAGAAAACATTTGCTCATGTATGTTCCTTTGCACACTGTAGTTCATAAGTATTATCAGTGGGAAAAGGGCTGTTTTACACGATGCAATTAATGATTTCTACAAACGGTTTGTATTAGATAATTGACTTTTGGGGAACGGGTCCAACTGGTTCCGATTCCAACTTAGACCGGGTCCGACTGGTTCCAGAAATGTCCAGCCGGGTCTGGTTCGAGTCTGGTTCCCAAAATTTTCACGTTTTGCCACCTCTAGATCAAAGCAGGAGTAATTTGTAGGTATCATTTCGTGATAACTTGATATCACCTGGTGAGCCACAGACTTCTGCATGTCTCGGTATACAGAGGTATATGGGTGACCTAAGCTTGAACGCTCTCAGCCTGGGATTAACCCGCGCCGGGCTGGTGCTCCGCGACTTCCGCGCCGGGCGGTGAGGGGGGTGTCTGGTCTAACTCGGCTCCTGGGCCACGTAGCGACACGCAGTAAGCATCATTCGAAAGAGCGTCAAAAATAATGACGGAAACACTTCGGTCATTTTTTGGGTCAGGTCAAAGGTCAGGTCGCCTGAGGTCATCGAAGGTCAAATGTAGGCCATTTCAACAATTTTGGAAACTGCAACGGCTAACTCGGGACCAATAGAGCTACAGCGCCGCGGAAAAGCGCATTCGATAGCCCTTTTACAGACCTTTCTGACCATTGTTCTCAGATTTGACCTAAGGTCAACGGTTTAGCCTCCAAAGGGCAAAAACTGTAAAATAGCAGTTTTCACGAAAACTGTTTTTCGGCAATAACTTTTGACTTAAGAGTGCCACGACATTACTTTTGGCAGCATCATGTTCCTCTCGTCGAGACGCGTCGAATGAACTATTTTTTGACCTTGAAAGGTCATTTTTAAAATTTGACCTCAGGTCAAGGTCATAACCTGACCGAAAAGGGTCATGTTGCATATCAGTCGATCCGTATCGTCGAGCGTTTCTGAAGTGTTTTCATCGCTCTAGCACGCCTTTATCAAAAGTTACAGCCAAAAAACTGGTGGTGACCGTCTATGACCTGAGATGACCTCAAGGGCACACAGAGGGGTCACAGGTGCATTTTTTCCGATTCAGTGTATCATGTTTACCTATGAAACGATGTTTGAGAGGGTTCTAAATACCATTCGTCCAAAAAAGGCTCATTTCAATTTTCTCCCATTGACTTATAATGGAGAGGTCGCAAAATTGACCTGACCATAGGTCACTGATATCAAAATTCCGAGATAAACATTTTAGACATACTGTTACTCTTATCAATCGCTGAAAGTTTCAAGGCGATCGTTCAGTCGGTGTAGCTATGACGAGGATTGCAACTTTTTTCTGAGGTGAGGTCTTTTGACGTGACCTGGTGACCTGACCTTGAGAGCTCTGGGTCTGAAATTTGCACATGTGTAAAAAAAAAGATGCATGAACAGGTGTGCCAAAAACGGCGGCGCGGAGTTTTGAGATATCTGCGAAAAACCGCAGGGGAGGTGTTCACTCCCCCCCCGGCCCGGCGCGGGCGGGGGGGGGGAATTTTTTTTTCGATGAGGGCAAATTTTTGCCACTGGTTTGCTTCTAGAACACGTGCGGAAAAGATGCAGTATGAAGTGTGTTCTTAACTTAAAAGGGGAGGCGTAAAAACGTCCCTTGCTTCTGCGTGGGGTGAAGTTCTACAGATTTGTTTCTTTAATCTCGCCTTTTTATCAGTTGTTTTTTCTTTTCTTTTTGTCAATTCATCAGTTCGTCTCGTTTCTTTAGAAGAACTACCATATGCGTTGTTTAATAAGGCGTCACTACCCTGGTCCCCAATTCCACACTAGGTACCCGCCCCCGGTCTCTGGTCCCCAAAGTGCTTTCAAAATGTATTTGGTTACAAAATAATTCCGCGCTTTTGGCGCGCTATTTCAGAAAAAAACTGCAACATAACGTGCCAAAACACGACGGCACAAAAACAACGTGCTATGGTAAAAAAAAATGCTGCCGTAAACTGAAATAAGACTTATTTCTAGACAGTCACGGGGAGGCGCCCCCATGCCCTTAAAAAGGCGCCCCCGACAGCGTTGCCCCCCCAACGAAAACCAAAAAGTTACGCCCCTGCGCGTCGCAGAAAAAAACGAGCGTGTGCGCCGTTGCGAGACGCAGCGATTGATACCCGATTTTTAGGTCCTAGGTCAACTGGTGACCTCTGAGGTCAGGTCAAGTGCCCCAAGGTACGGTTCCGTTTTTGGTGAACAACTTCGCAAAAAACGGTCGCAGAGCCGCGATTTTGGCAGCATTGTGTTCGCCTCGCTCAGGCGCATCGAATGATATACTTTTTGATTGGGTGAGGTCAACTTGGGGTGTTGCCCTCAGGTCGCGGTCAGGTCAGCGCCCCCAGGTCACGAAATCGGTCGAGGGAGGCCATGTCACATATCATTCGATTCGGCAGGTCCTCCTGAGCCCATTGGTGGCTTTCTCGATTCGCTAGCTAAATTTGATCGGAGTTATTGACGGAAATCTAATATGACTCTAATGACGTCATAAATGACGTCGCGCAAGGTCAGCATTGCAAAAGTGACGCATCTTACCTTGCAAGGAGTGCATCAAATCACGATTCTGTGTGCTTGATATAGTTTGAGATCGTTCCCTACGCCAGAATAGCAGTTTTCATTTTTCCCCATTGACTTTTTTATAACCCTCGCCGGTACGGGGGGGGGGGTGGTTGATGCAACCTCCCTAAGGTTTTTCGCGAATAACTCGCGTAAAAAGCGGCCGATCGCGACGAAACTTTCAGTACCCTCGCATTGATCAATTTTACACCTACCCTGAAAACTTCATGACCCTGATCCCAATGACCTTTGACCTGTGACCTCTTTTCCGTGACCATGTTTGGCCGAAATCGCGATTCGGCGTATGTCGGCTCGCATTAGCCGCGCGTTTGCAAGCTTTTTGTGCTTTCAAACGTTCAAACATGTGATTTGATGTTGCTCCCATGCATTAGGGTGGGTGTCAAGGTCACCTGAAGGTCAGGTCAGGTCATTGACCTTTTGTGACCTCGGTTCACTTTTTCGAGTTTTACATGTTTCTAGGCTAGTTTTTGGAGCTGAATTCGAATTTAGCAACCATTTGAACATTTACGAAGTAGTTTTGGTGCCTTCGTAACATGTTACGAAGCTGTCAGAGGCGGATGACAGGTACTGCGAATACACACTGCGCGTAACACACTGCGCGCCCCTCGCGCGCTGCGGCTCGGCGCAGACTGCGCGTGTTTACCTCTTAATGTGTGACGTCAGCGCAGATATCTAACGATTTTTAAATGTTTGACTTAAACGTTTGGTAGCACGCGGTGGTATATGCTCAATGCTGCTTTGCGCGCAACAAATGCCGCACTTTCAAATAAAGTCCCTGGGAACAGCGGAGATCCCAAAAAGGAAACAAAAGTTAAAGTCTAATATCTTGAAAACCGGTGAATATTTTTCGATGAAATTTGGCAGATATTTGTTTTCGCTCTTTCTGAACCGAGCGACATCACTTTCATGCCAATTCATTAACTTTTTTGAAGGTGGGAGGGTCCCTTTAATGATTCTTCTCAGCCACACAACCAACACGCAACCTCAGTGCCGCGAGACGACCCCCCCCCCCCCCCCCCGACGGTCAGTATGCGCTGTCAGCCACCCGACAGGACACGCGATCTCGGCGGTGTCATATTGCTCGGCACTACTCGGCCGGCCGGCGCTGGGGAGGCTCGGTCCGAGGGACTCGGCCACCACTGCTCACTGCTCAGTGTGCTCAGTTACACGCACGCAGGCGGACCGTGCGTGGCGGGACGCGCCCCGTACTGACCGTCCTCTGTGCCGCTGCAGCTGTTGGCCGATCCCTCCAGCTGACGGTGGTGGTAGAACGTCCGACAGCGTCTGCTCAGCCATGGGCAACTCCAACTCCAGCGAAGAGAACCGCCGGCGCTCCAACCGCTCCGGCTACAGGTAAGGCTGATCAGCCTGTCAGGGGCACCAGAGACCTAGCAGGGGCACCACAGGCCTGCCAGGGACACCACAGGCCTAGCAAGGGCACCATGGGCCCGTCAGGGGCACCACGAGCCTGCCAGAGCCGGGCACCTCAGGCTTGTCAGAGCCCAGGGGCACCACAGTCCTTCCAGGGGCACCACAAGCCTGTCACTTGTCAGGGGTACCAAAGGCCTAGCAGGGGCACCACAGGCTAGCCAGGGGCACCATAGGTCTATCAGGGGCACCACCGGTCTCGCAGGGGCGCCTTGGGCCTGTCAGGGGCACCACGTGCCTGCCGGGGACACTTCGGGCTTGTCAGGGGCACATCACAGTCCTGTCAGGGCCCAGGGGCACCAGGCCCGCGGTGCCCCTGCTAGGCCTGTGGTGCCCCTGGCGGGCCTGTGGTGCCCGTCAGGACTGTGATAGGTACCCCTGATAAGCCGGTGGTGCCCCTGGGCCCTAGCAGGCCTGTGGTGCCCCATGGGCTCCAAGGGGGGGGGCATGGCCCATATGACCCCCCCCCCCTTTGGATCCGCCACTGACTTTAACGCGGATTGGTCTATTGATCGGCGGAATTTGCGCAGTTTGTCACAAACTGCGCAAACACGAACTGTTTGTGTAGAAAATAGGAATGAACAGAGTAATTTCGCCTAACTAATTAGTAAACCAGAGCTAAGTTCGAATACAATACAAGTTAGAAAGCCGCCTTTGAACTCAGAATGGTTCAATGAGGAAGTTGCATTTAAACTCAGAATGCTGTCTTGAAGAGCAACATAAGGGTTGATTTTATTGTTTTGTGGCCCGAGCGGCTGTGGCCGCCATCTGGCATCCGCACAACTTGCTAATTCGCCCCTTCTGCCATATCTATCATTTACCAATGTTCATAATATAGTCGATACAGCACTACGATGTCTACCATGTTGATTGCAGCTCTGAATTCGGAGTTGAGGTGACTGGTGACATGCTGGAGGAGCAGAGGCGCATTTTCAACCAAATCCAAGCCGACGACAGGCGCAGGGCGGAGGAGCTTCGCGAGAGGCAACAACAGCAGCAACAACTGGAAGCTGAGCGCGAGCGTCAGCGGCGGACGCTGGCGCTGCCCACACCAGTGCCGTCTGCACCGCCGCCGCCCGCACCGGCGCAGGCGGGCATTTCGTTGCCCCAGGTGTGCTACCGCCACAACACACAGCAGGGCTGCGCCAACGCCCGCTGTCGACGGCTTCACGTCTGCCGCCTGTTTCTGGCGGACATCTGCAAACATGGCGCGAACTGCCGCTATGGACATTCGCTGACCACCGTGTATAACCAGGTGGGTTGCGGTGTGCATCTTCGCTAATCACAAACTCGATTGATAAATCAGTTCCATTTTGCTACCTGGTTCATGATACTGCGCGATTTGTGGCTGTATTGAGGAAGCAGTCGGTGTTTTGACCGTTTGTTGACTAGGGGCCTTGTTCGCGTTTTTTTTTTTTTTGCTTTTTTACTTTTGTCGGTCCGCGATTTTTTTTTTGTCGGATTACGTTTCAAACTGACCTCAGAGTGACCTCAGTGTCAGTCGAGCTGAGTCATTGAGTAAGTTTTGTCGCGGCCAAACGAACATTTTGTTATAAACAATAAATATCTTTCTGTTTCCATGAATGACCCGTCAAGTGTTTTTACTGCTTAAATGTCCATAATGGGCCATAACGTCCAGTGACCACTGACGGCGAAGAAAACCGCACGTCATTAAAAAAGTGTATGCGGTACGAGTACGGGTCAGGACTTCAGCATTTGACTCGGCGCGTCGCTATGTTTCCAGGTGGTCTGCAATCGCTACAACCTGGACACCAGTCGGGAGCTAGCTTCCATCCAGAAGCTGAGGCGCGCCTTCGACGAAAACGAGGAGCTACCGCCGTCTGGGTATGCCAGAAACCTCGAGAGATGCTTCAAATTCGGCTCCAAGACCTCGTGTACGCTGAGTGACTGCAACAGAATCCATATCTGTAGGTAAGCATACATTTGGAAAAAAAGAACAGTATGTAGAACATAAGTCGATACTGTCATGTAGATAGTAACTATGTGTAATTTATCTTCAGATCGATTGCTAAATTGAAGTTCGTTTTATCCTAGCAGGGTCCTGTTTAAAGGTAGAGTGTGCCACCTTTGAAAGATTTCCCATTTTATTTTTCCTAGGATAAGAAGCTTCTGTTTGTACCCAATATCGCAAAAAAAATCAAAAATGGGCCTGGAATAGTGCCTTTTTCGCCTAAAAGTTTATCGGTTTTTCGATATGTATAACAACTGTAGTGGGCTGACATGCAAACAGGCTTCGGCAACAATCGCGAATGCGGCGCACATGTGACAATAAGCAAAGGTCATTATAGAGTTACGACGTACGGGAATGAGTTATCAGCTGTCTAATCGTAGACAACACAATGTCGAGCCTTAAACTGTAAGCCTGTATTGGTATTGTTTCTTTTATTTGGCTGTCGAACATTATTTATGGTTTGAAATATGATTTTATGTAAAATAATTGATATGAAAAAGCCGTCTCTTAAGTTATGACCCCATTTCACCACACGCAAGTGGCAGAAATGACAATGCTCAGCTGACGCATTTTTCTTGGCCGAAGTCAGAGCGCGCGGCCCGACGCACCACCACCACACCACAAAGTATGAGCAGAAGCCGCGCCCAAAGCCAGGGCCCCGGTAACGTGAGGTAGCCGAGTCGGGGCAGCGTGCGCTGACCCAAGCCGGGGCCGCAGCTTTGGGCGCGGTCTACCGCATCCCCGCGGGCAGCCCCGGGCTATCACATGACACCGGGAGGACGCGCGGCCCCGGCTTGGGTCAGCGCACGCTGCCCCGACTCGGCTACCTCACGTTACCGGGGCCCTGGCTTTGGGCGCGGTCTACCGCACCACCTAACAGGCGTGTTCGAAACCGCAGGAGATGATGATGAACGGGTTTATCGAAACTTGATTGGATGAGCATATCGGTAATAGCGATTTCAGTGTGTGCATTTATTGTTCATAGTGGTGTGAAATGTGGTTGGGGTACGACCGACAACCCGTCGGGGCGAATTTCGCACTGGGGTACTCAAAATGTGAAGAATTTAAGACGTTTCCATGAGTTTTGAAGGTATGGATAAGTTCTAAAAATCCGGTTCTCCTTATCTGGGCCATTAACTCCATACGGTCCAGGAAAGCTGGCACACTACCTTTAACATCCCCGTTGATTGACCTTAAAGGAATTTAATTGTTTAAGTCTGCGATTCGTCAGTGGGCCCCAGTGCTAAACAAAGTATTAATAATTAAACATCGTTTCCCGCGTTTTTTAATTTATCCTAGTTATACAGTAAAACGTTCGTGGGGCTCGTGGATACATGCCAGCAATATAAACTAGCTTCCCTCACGGCTCACCCACTTTCGCAGGCGGTTTATCGCCGGTACCTGCGCAAGAACTAACTGTAAGTTCGGACACGATCTTCACACCACGCACAACAACAGCGTGCTGAGCCGACACCGTGTGACGCGTATGAGAGACAGTGAGATTATCGAGCTACTGCGTCAGAAGGAGAACCCGGACGGCCTACAGGTACGGACGGACGTCGTGTAAACACGGGTAGGGAAGAGAGGAAAGAGGAAGATGAGAAAATGGGAGATATGTTTGTCGTGAGGGATAAAAATACGGAATGCTATCTTTACTTGGAAACATGTTTTATCTTCACTTGACTTCATTTATTAGTGGGGTGTTCACTGTTGTCCATTCTGCGAATAAATAAGTAAATAAATAGACAAAATATAGATACCGACAAGAGCCGTAAGCACCCGCTAAAATTGCAAAGCATTGTTCAGTGTCCATCTTTAAAACGGTTAAGTTTTGTAAGGCTTGCCGATTCAGTTAATTGGGGTTGAATAATGCTATGCTGTGTATGATAAGAACTGAGATAACGGTGAAGTTTTTGTTGAACTAGGTAAAAATGATTCAGCCGTGTACGTCTAGCTGCCGTGCGCGTTTTTGGTATCTTGTTTCGATGTTATGAGTCGCCTGACGTGTGTGTCGCTGTTCGACGACATCTGATAACAGATGCCGGTGACGTACTCCCTCAGGCTGGCGGTGCCGCCGCTCCCTCGGCTCCCAGTGTCAACTCTCGTCGCCAGCAGTCTGCCAAGCCCGCCGGCGGACCGAATCAGAAGAAGACGGGCGGCGCGACGGCTCCGGCGTCTCCGGCCGGCATCTCGGACGAGCTGCAGTGTCCCGTCTGTCTGGACATGTTCAACAGAGCCACCACGCTCGGCTGCGGCCACACGTTCTGCGCCCAGTGTCTGGAGGATACGCGCCGCTCGAGCGACAACAAGTGCCCCATGTGCCCCATGTGCCGGGCGGTCATCACATCCTCCACGCACTCCGTCACCCTCGACAACATCATCAGGAGCGTGCTGGCCAGCCAGTGAGGAGCGGCCGGCCGGCCGGCAACCGGACCAACTTCGCAAGGAACGCGTTGGTCTGCCACTGAGGAGCGTCTGCTCTAAAACTTTCTTCGGGAATGAACGAAAAAACGAGGAGGCACGCCGGTGAAGGAGTTGCGGGCATGCACAACTTAATCGAGAGTACGGGACCATCTAGAAACGAGGCCGTCATAACATAACCAAGAGAACGGTGACCGATTGACCCATGTTGGTTACTGGTAATACCGTGAATTGCAGCATTAGAATCAACCGGGCAGTGAGCCAGGCTGTGAGCATCAATGATGATACGTGGACTTTCACAAGGCAGGGAGTAGGGGATACGCCACTATCTGTACGAGTACTGCCATGTACTGCTTTTGCCGGGATGCTCTCGAAGATGCATAGTACGGAACGCACTTTTCTTATTTCTGATAGCACGTATTTGTAGCTCAGTGTTGCTTGGGCTGGCTTAAATGCTTTGGTGCCTTTGGCGAGTATGTAAGATGTTCGTCTCTTGTGATAGAGGGCAGTTCGATGTGAAGTGCCTGAGGAGTGGCCAGTATTGTTGCAGGTCGCGAAGCCGGAGGAAGGTCAAAGCGAAGGGTCTGAGAAAGGCATCACTTGTGTAATAGTGTCTTCTGGTGTTCCGAGCTGCTACACTATTTATACGGCTTCGAGCCTAGCCAGCGGTTGCTGATCAGTAGTTGCGGATTTCGCTTGCTGTTGGTTACAGCGCTATTGTTATCCCAGATTTCGTGGATCTAATGAGAAAGCTAACGGTTTCGTTATGCTGACGTGAGTTGGCGCTATGAGTTGTCTACAGCCCAGATTTTCGTCCGATATTTTGTGATTTTGGGCGAGCAGCTCGCGGTTGGCTTCCGGCTACTAAGTTCTTGTCGCCTTTCTGGTCAATTATATTGTTGTTGCGACTAGCCTTCTAGTTGCGACATGGTTATGCATATGGATGTTGTGTCGTTTACTCCGTGTGTGGATCCCTTCCGCTATCCTTGGATAATACATTTCAAAGCAACAAGCCTGTCTGAGCACTGTGCGGCAAATCCGGAATGTTATTAAGAGCAGCGTTTCAGATTCACTTGTGTGCTTGTCACTGTCAGTATCTGGCATCTAGCATAGGTGACTATGAACCCGTCAGTCATAAGGCATTGTGACTAGCAATGCCTTGTAACTGTTTATAAGGCTGACAATGAACCTGTTGCAGTCGTACTTCCTTGTAACTGTTCACAAGGCTGACAATGAACCTGTTGCAGTCGTACTTCCTAACACTTCTAAACTCTTCCAAGAGCAAGATAGAGAGAAGGTTGGACCAGGACCCTCCTTGGCTTCGTAGGGGCTCGAGCTGCCGCTGGAACAGGGGAGCAATCTTGGAGGAGTTAAGAGGTGATGGGAAGCGTGAATGGAACAGACCCAATGTGTCTGCTGTCTGACTGGCCTATAGTAGTTGGCTTTGTCCGTTAGCTGACAAACTCTGCGGCTGGCACATATTCGTTCAAACCCTGCTCAATCATGGCACATCGTGTATTGACCAACAAGCAGCCACACATCATGGCACTCGGTACACAACAATACTTCCAGTCCGACCGACAGCAGACGGCTCGCGCCGCCACCGGCGGAGGACCGGCCGCGCGCCCCCTCCGTCCCGGGAACCTCAGGCACCACCCCCATCTGTCGACGTTTCAGGTGGCGCCGTCATACGGACGGTGCAGGGGCGCTGGCGACCGGCCCGGCACCGGCGCGGCGCGCGGCGTCCGGTCACACAGCCGTACGATCACGTCATCACTTGCCTCGCTGGCTCATGAGGTTCTTGATGTCGTCCTCGATTTTGACGGTCTCGTACTTCTTGCTGTACCTGGGGAGAAGAGAACGGTGTGAGCGAGGAGTTGAGTGAACAGTGGCGATGAAGTTCGCTCACCGATGGGTACGGCGATGGGCTGCATAACATATTAACATTTACAATGCCTGTTCTACAGCAATGGGATCGTGGGTGCATGTACCATTCTGCCTTTACGTCTTTCTGTACGATGCGAGAGAAACAGTGGAATCCTTCGGTAGGTAATAGCCAACCGGTGGGATACTCTCACGAAATATCGCATACAACGCCTTCATATCAAACTGGATTCACAAGAAACGATAGGCCTTCCGGTAAATTGTGGGAAAGTTTTGAGCCAAGTCCAGGCGAACACGTATTCAAAATACCTTATTACAGAATAATACCTAGTCACGACACTTTAACGTCCCTACATCCAGTAGTTGATAAATGAAAGCACACGACTGTCAATATCCACTGAACAGTTACCTCCGGAAAGGTTTGCCGTCAGGGCCGATCAGGAACTTTTCAAAGTTCCACGAGATGTCGCTCCGCTTCACCGGTGCCCAAATGATGAGCTTGGGGTCCTCGATGAGGGAGGTGGGGTCGTCAGCCGGCAGCGGCAGCGCCGTCTTCAGGTACTGTCGGAGGAAGGAGATGTCAGATGTGGGGGGAGCACGAGCTGAACGGAATGCCAATGAACCGGATATTGTTAAAGCTTAACAGTCAGCACTGAACGGACATGTGCGATAATGCAAAGGTATTATTGGGAGTGATTGGAGACCAAGGCCCCTTTAAGACTCGGTTTTCAACAAAAAGCCTATGACAGTGTACAGAAAGAAGTGAACCGAGCCCCCGGCTCTAAATTTCGGAGTCAGCTCCATCGCTCGCCCCTTCAGTCGCGGTTTTGGTACTTTTTTTTGCTGTGCGATTGAAATAAAGACAATCAGTCATACGCAAATTGTAAACCTAACAGTGCGATCGGTAGAGACGTCTGGCAATGCGTCGGTCAAGACACATCCACTGGCCGTTTTATAACGAGGCAGCAGGCATTGTGTCAGCTAGTAGCTAGCTCAGCCGGTCCGGAGGCCCCACTACCTAGCATAGTCTGCAAGTCATCACAACTACCACGCAGGTCCTGTTACAACCCGGTCCATGACGAGGCATATCGGGCTGATCCGTTTGTTTATGTATGCCGCACACTCTGTAAGGCGTCGTCTCCGTTTGATATATACAGTGTGGAACTTGATTGTAACTGACGAACGTTTCGACAACCAGACAGAAGTCTTATTTCAGTGTCATAAAGGTTTGGTGCTTCGACCTTCACACATCTTCATCAGAACTAGATTAGAATTAGGTCTGCATTAGAACAGCCCGCAACATGGTAATCCAACACTTGGCGCCCAAGCCTTGTCACATGCGACTGCTGAAAATGATGACAAAGGCTGGCTTCTTCCACAGATCGATAAAGATAACGAGGAAAAATGAAACTTCAGACGCAACCATTTTTCGCAAATGCTACTTAACGGAGAAATCGTGCAAAAAGGACTTTGGTAGGAATAATGAAAACATTGCATGAGAACGGTTAGTCGGAACGATAAGGCACATTTGCAGGCGTAGTAGCCACTATGCCGCGTTACAAGCCTGCAATATGACTTGCAAAACACAAAGGCATCATGCTCTTAGGTGGGCACAATAGTTTCCGTTGCCGTGTTTCAATTCCACTATAACGTAAAACTATCTCTCAAAGGACGTCGACTGAAGTTACCGCTCCGTCTCTGCCGTCTCGTCTGCGTGACCTCGACCACCCACGAGGGCGGCTCTGGGCCCATCGATCCGTCCATCCCCGCGTGTCACCAGAGTCGACCCGCGGCGCCCAGTCACCTCAGTCAACACGAGACGTCCGTCCGATCGGCCCCACGACCTCGTCCGGTCCGCGCAGGTGGTGGAAAACACGAACGGAACGTGTCGACTGCCCAGTTCGGCGTCACGGTCACTGTACGTGAACGTTGCTCCGTCACGTGTAGCACGTAACGATAACGTCAGACCAGGCATCCCTGCGGGAGGTTTTCGCCTGCAGGCTGCAGATATCCATAACCTAACATATTCTACCCAATCTATACTGATAAGATCAGAACGAACGGCTTGAGCGGAGACAAAATAATAATTACGGAGCGAGCGAAGCGAGCGTAGTCTTTCCTTAGATTAACGGAAATTTCTGAGTATGAGCGGCCGGCCGGCCGGCCGTGGTCACGCTTTTGCGAGGCTTATATCTCAGCAACCACTTGACCGATTTACATGCGGTAATTTTTGTAGGGTAGCTTCATTCCTTTCTACTTCATTCCTTCATTCATTGGACTATTCCTGATGCATGTGGGTGACCCCTTATGCACGTGCCACGTGCAAAACGAAGAGGTGTCCGTTTTGTAATTGTTGCAATATCTCGGTAACTACTTGGCCGATTGCGCTGAAAGTTGGCATGTAGGTAGGCACCCACTAGGCACTGCATATCCATGTGCCAGAGTTGGGGCGCTGCTGCACGTGCGCACGTGCAGGGGTCGTTTCCAGATCTCGAGAACGGCTCGACCGATTGCGCTCAAATTTGGTACACAGTTAGGGACCGGTTAGTAGGGTGCCGTGCACAAGTCAGTTGGGACCCATTTTGCACGTGCGCACGTGCACGGTGCCGCTTCCAGATCTCGAGAACGGCTGGGCCAATTGTGCCCAAATTTGGCACAACGCTAGAGACCGGTTAGTAGGGTGCCGTGCACAAGTCAGTTGGAGGTACCCCCTCGCAATTTCGCACGTGCAAGGCCCACCCTCTCGCTCGCTCCGTTAGTCGCCCCAAAAGGCGTTATACTGGTGATAAGGAAACCACGCCACTGCACTATAGATCAAACTGATCAAACCTAAACCTTGCTAAGTGCCTACAGTACAGCGGCACATGTCCCTCCCTGTATCACAGCTGTGCTGATCTAAGTTACCAGCTGTATAGGCCAGCCCTTCTCCTCCCTCCCCAACCCCGCCTACCCACCTTGAACACGGGGTGCTCGCGGCTTCCGTTCACTTCCACCTTTGAGAACATCTCGCACAGTGGCTCGAAGTTGTTGCCGGGCCGTACGTGACGCAGAGCGTTACGGATCTCCTCGTTCGCAGCATTCTCCTGCAGACGAAAAAGAGAGATGAGAGGGTGGGTGAGCGGCGTCGGATGGACGGCGGTAGTCCGGCTATAGCCATTGTAAATCGTCGGGGTGTGTGAATGAATTGGTACAATTAACGAGATGACTTAGAAATGATGTTTTTTTGTAATACATGGACAGAAATTGTTCAGAAGCAAAGCTCACATTCATTTGGTTCGTAAAACTCCACTTAAGAAGAGCAGATCACAGAAAATATGTGTAAATGTATGGAAAGACCGCACATCACATCACATAAATTCAATCACGTTATGCTTGTGTAAGTATAGCATCCAGCGCAATGGCTAGCAAATAAAACAACGGAAGACCTCTCTAAAAAAAGTTTCGTAAAGCACAAGAATGGCCCTCGATTCTGTCACGTAACCAGAAGGCGAGTGCATAACGTGACTCATTGTAGTGAAGTGGCAAGTGGTCGTCACGACCGTTAAGCTTCCTCAGGTGGACTCTGGACCGCCGCGCGCTCCGCCCCTTCCGCCCCACCCACGTGCCTCCTGGCCGTGAGGTGAGTGAGGTCCACAGTCTACTCAAGAACAGGGATGACGTAGAGGTGATAGAGTGAGCAGCGATAGGAGATTGAGACACGATAGCGATTGGAGACAAGACAGAGAATTTATTGGCGTAACGGGGCGGCAAATGGACCTCCGGTACAGCTGTCCAGGCAATATATCCGTGCTCAGGATCAATATTACCTGCTGATCTCGCTGATGCAGGGGGCAACAGTGTAACAAAAGGCACGTCACATAGCACATACCTAATAACGTGTCCTGATCCCGGGCTGGCTTGACCATCTAAGCCGCTTAAAGTCCGAATGCATTTGTCTTAGTCAATCGGTATCTACACTGTCCAGCTACTATACAACGCCCAATTGGTCGGGTAACAAAATCTTCAGACATATGCGACCCAGCTGCGGCCTACCCGAGCCCATGACCTATGAGTGATGACCCACCCAGCCGTGACTTACCCCATGACCAGCTGTGACTACCCAGCAATGACCTCACCTGGTGCCCGAAGAGGTTGCAGGGGAAAGCCAGCACAGCCAGCTTCTCGGGACCGAACCGGTTGATGAGTAAATTCATCTGGGTAAAGTCCCGAGTGGTTGTGCCTCAGAGGGTCGCCGTGTTCTCGATCAGCACCACCTTGCCCTTGTACTTGCTGAAGCTGACATTCTTCCCTGCAAGAAAAACATGGAGAGTGTAAGCAAAGCCTGCGAACATCCGTTGTGGAGACCGGCGTTGCGCTGAAAGTCGTAGACGTAGGGAGCATATAAAGCCTCCTTTTCTAGATATGCACGGCCAATGAAAGAGCGCAAATTATAATAAGAAATGAAGGCAAGTATGAATTACAACGATCTGTAATAATCTTGAGTATAACAACGACAAATCAACAACATAAGCCCCACTCACCACAGCGCGTTCAACTGCGAATGTGCGTAGAAAAACAAAACAGATTCATTGGAATAGATTTAATAGAATTAACAGATGGATTAAAGTGGAACTGGACTTCGCAAAATGTGTCGATAACAAGAATAACTTCCACTGCACGTAGTACGACTGAAGAATAATTACCAGACGTTGGACAGCCTTTGTGTTAACGAGCACTATACATGAGGTGAGGACTGAGGATCAGTATTCTGAGAACTGGTGAAATAGTAATACCTACGGTAAACTGTGGAATCAAGTAAGAGTATGTACACCTAACGATCGTGGTTTCGAAGTCTTATGTAAGCTTGGTATGTAACGTTCGGATTATAACATTTTAACCACTGGACCGGCTGAAGTAGATATTCAAAAGCTGGAGTTATAAATTATTATGAAGGTATAGGGTGGGCGAGTCACTGCACGCATCAGTTTGGCCTAAAAACAGCGATATACGACTCAACTGATGAAATATGCTGCAAGGGCCGACCAGAAGGCGGTCCGCAGAAACCCTTCGATTGCCGCGTTTATCATGGCTCACGGCAGTCGACAAGTTTCACGGGTTGCACTGACGTCTCGTTTTACTCGAGCTCGCAAACAATGGCTCTATGGTTACAATAGCCATTACCACAATTCGCTCTACGTCTACTGTCAACTTCCATTTCATTCTCCTGGAGGCCGTGGAAATGAGTGGAGCTGCCAAAGCGGCATGCAGCTGCAAGTTCCGCTCTTTGCATCGCAGCGCCGTGCATGCAGGAGCAGCAGTTGACCCTGGACCACGTCATTACGGAGCGAGCGAAGCGAGCGTAGTCTTTCCTTAGATTACGGAAATTTCTGAGTATGAGCGGCCGGCCGTGGTCACGCTTTTGCGAGGCCTATATCTCAGCAACCACTTGACCGATTTACACGCGGTAATTTTTGTAGGGTAGCTTCATTCCTTCTACCAAGTATTGGACTATTCCTGATGCATGTGGGTGACCCCTTATGCACGTGCCACGTGCAAAACGAAGAGGTGTCCGTTTTGTAATTGTTGCAATATCTCGGTAACTACTTGGCCGATTGCGCTGAAAGTTGGCATGTAGGTAGGCACCCACTAGGCACTGCATATCCATGTGCCAGAGTTGGGGCGCTGCTGCACGTGCGCACGTGCAGGGGTCGTTTCCAGATCTCGAGAACGGCTCGACCAATTACCCTCAAATTTGGTACACAGTTATGGACCGGTTAGTAGGGTGCCGTGCACAAGTCAGTTGGGACCCATTTTGCACGTGCGCACGTGCAGGGTGCCGCTTCCAGATCTCGAGAACGGCTGGGCCGATTGTGCCCAAATTTGGCACACCGCTAGAGACCGGTTAGTAGGGTGCCATGCACAAGTCAGTTGGAGGTACCCCCTCGCAATTTCGCACGTGCAAGGCCCACCCTCTCGCTCGCTCCGTTAGTCGCCCCAAAAGGCGTTATACTGGTTGTTAAATATACCTACCATACGTACACAGAAAACCAGAAACAGGGGTGGGGGCACACCGGGACTGTACTGGCCATGGCGAATTACCTAATAACGTTCAACGCTAGTTTGAACGTCAGGGGAAACGTTCAGAAGTCTCCGTAAACGAGCAACGTTATAACATCGAATAACATAACGTTATTCGATGTATATGTATGTTATCCTTCAGCAAAAAAACACGAGCAGTGGTGGGTTCTACCCGAACACAAATCAGAACAGTCCACCGATGATAATTAACTTTTTTAGAATGATTGTGTTTCAGAGACAATTTCGGGAAATTAGGGACGATAACTAGGTCAAAATCTGTCTCGGGTTATATGAGATTGGACTTCATACTCAACTTAACCTGTGCCAATGCCGCTCAACCGATTTCGATGCACATTGTTGCACTTTTCGAGTGATTTATCGTAATTTGGCATGCGCCATGCGAAAGGTACGTGCTCATTGAGACTAACTGACTACGATTGATATCAAAAGATAAAACATTTGTGTGACTCGGGGATAACCTCACAAATATCTGCAGTTGCAACTATATGGCAACTAGTTATGGACAAAATCGACGAAAAACAGTTGATAGTTTATTTGTTTGCCTGTTTACCGACCATTAGCATCTGTTTGTACGACAAATTAGGGGTATATCCCAAATCATTGTACACTGCACATGGTTATTTGAGAGCAGCCAGCTAGGCAATCTGAAATGAGATTGGGCCCTATAGATCGTTATACATGTTGAACGACACCAATAAAGAAATAAAAGGCTAGCCTCGAACAAGTGTCATATCTGTGCAAGCGTTTAAATTGCCTGAGCCACTAACGATAGATAAGAGCTCGAGCACATCACCGCCCAGGCACCCGCCGTTGGCACGGGTAGGAACCTATCAGCCCCTCCCCGAACTCCCCTCCCGCTGGCCTTGGTCGTATCGGCGGCCATGGACGGCCTGGGATCAGCTGCGGCGATAAGAGCCATGTTCGCTCTGAAACCCAACAGAGCGACGGCATTCCACGCCATTTACTGGGCAGGACGGGGAACTGGCCAAGGGTCGTGTGTTGGAGACCGAATCAGATACCGGAAGACTGGCAATAGGACAGAATTGGTGGGATGACGGTTGGCCTTGACTCGAGATAGGAGTAGGACCAGCCCGTGTGATGTGTGCGGATAAGACGGTTCGAGCCTCGACAAAGTGTGTTACATTTGGGTATGGTGCATGGCAAAACATGAGAAGATAGGCATGCGACGCACAATATTTGAACTAGCATTCGTAAATCTAATTAGATTTTATGATCAGCATAGTTAGCTGATGATTATATTTTGCCATAAGCCAAATATTAGATTAAATTTTTGCCATATGTTTCCATTAACCCGATACATATACAGTCATTTATTAAGTTTCTATTCATATCTATTAGCAACATGAAAAGGTCGCCCAAGAGATCCAAGTGTCCATCCCTTCCCTGTCCAGCCGCGCCGTCACGACGCCTGTCGACATGTCGCCCCGTCACGCTAGCGTGACGACAGGTCACTCCTGGTTCGACCGCGCCTGATCCATCCCATTAGCGACCGCACTGAGCCCCATCGTCCGCGGTCCGTCATAGTTCCACAGGAAATGGTGTTGATTGGGATCACGCGATGCGTCGGATCGGACACCGGAATGATATTCGAATCTACATTGACATATTGCGTAACCAAGAGAATGTAATGTAGAAAACGGGTAAAATGAGATTTTCCTTCTAAAATCTGGGGATCGCAAACTGAGTTGCCATTAATAAAGAAGTTAACCCTAGAACGCCTAGGGGGGGGGGGGGTTGTATCACCCCCCCCCCCCTGAGGTTTTTTCGAAGTGCACGCTAAACGGCTTGTCGTAGCGGGCTGAAATTTTCAATACCCTCTGGGGCAACCTTTGCGCATCTTTTGCCGAAAAAAAAATTGATCGGGTCATGTCAGGTCACGGAGTTATGACGTCATAAGAGGTACATCCTCCGGCCGACAGTTACCAAACGTGTGCGCCGAATCCCTAGGTTTTCTGCCGGTGATACCCACATTGTTTGATGGATCATGATGAAACTTCCCATGCATGTTGGGGCAAGCATTGGCTATCGTGTGGTGCAAGAAAATTGACCGGGTCAGGTCAGGTCACGGAGAGCTATGACGTCACAAGAGGAACAGCGTCCGGTACTATTTTTGAAAAGCGCCCGAACCACTATTTTGCTAATTCTTGTCACCTCAATGGGAATATGCAGCAATATTAGCTTCTATAGGGAGCAAATGGACCTCCCAAATCCAAAAATACAATCAGATTTCAAAAATTTAAATTTTGATTTTTCGAATTTCTGCCGCCGACTGTGACCTTGCCGACTTCCGGCGCTCCCAACGCGCCATTTTTAGAGCTAGGGAAACGAAATACATACCAACCGATAGAGAATTGATCAAGGAACACGATAGTGAAGGTTTCAAGTCGATATCTCCCACCGTTTTGCCGCAATCGCCGCGGAAAGTTGAAAAAGTTTGATTTTTCGGAAAATTTGACCTTTGACCGGTCATAAGTAGGTCAAATGTTGACCTAGGACCAAAAAATATACCACCAATCGCGAGATCTCGTTGAGAGCAATCCGTTGGTTTTTTCCGCTAAGCTCTACGACCTTCCGTTTCGAAACGCCAGGGGGGGGGGGGTCGTAACACCCCCCCCCCCCCCCCTGGTCGTTCGTGTTATGAGAAATGGCCTGGTCGTGCGAGAGTTAACCTCTAATAAGTCCCAGAGGATGTTTGGATAAACATCCTCTGGGATGATTACTGATCTCAGGCAGCTTTTGCCAAATTGTCAGAGAACTCAGATTTGTTTTTCAATAGAAAAACACAATTCTAAAGAAAAGTGTTTTAACTATTGACAACAAACCTTCGTTTATCATTAACATCCTATCATACATCCTAAATCATTACCCTTGAAAAGGTTATAATAAACGAAACGTCGGGTAATTTTTGTTGCAACATCTTGCATATTTACGAAATGTTTGGATAAAATGCAATCACCCTGACACGCTGCGTCTCTGGGTGGGTCGCGCTGTGACCTCGCGAGGTAGGCTGGTCGTGGAGGGACAACTTAATTGAAGCCGCACGCACCGCACCGCGTGCTGCCGCCTCCGCTGCACCCAGCGCCTCGCCCGGGGCCATTTCCCGTGCCTTTCGACTCTGACGAGTCATTCTGGAGGTGTCAGCCCACTCCCTGATCCGTCCCGACTTGGTCACGAGAACGACGGTCGGAC